CCCCCCCCCAGCCGGCCAGACGCAAGACGCAGCTCTGCCCGACGGCCTGGGCCTCCCGTGCTTGTCATCTCCTCGAGCTACTTTGTGCACTCACTCGCCGCTCGAGACTTGCTCAGCAATCACGGGCCGTCACGGCTTCTTTGACGACGCGCGGTACTGATAACGAATTAATGGGAAGTATGCAGCGGCTCATTGACTTCGCGAGAAAGGCCCCCCGCCGGGAGGGCCGCTAAGCGAGGTCATCAGAAAGTCCGACTGGTACTACAACAACTACTACTACTACTGACTACTAAATTTAATTCACGATTGTTGTTGTGTTCAGATCAGTCTTCAGCGAGGTCTGCGCGTCGAGACACCCTTGCTGGATGGGCCTTCGCGCCTCAGACCCGTGCATAACGAAACAAATGGGAGAGTGCGGAGCTAGGCGCGCGGACTCGCGTGTCACTGTACCGTCTTGCCGCGGGTAGAGCGCGGGATGATGAATAAGCCTGCAGCTCGATCTCTGCCTTGATGGTCGACTCGTGACTCGTGCCTAACTCCAAGTTTATCGCCATTGCACTTCGAGACGGGTGATGTCGCACAGCCATACAGGCAAGTGTGGAGTGCTGCTTTGCTGCCTCCTCCACTTCGCACTTGATCCCACTTGTGACGGGCGAGTGATGGGCGTCGGGCGGGCTCGTCGGAAGGTTTCACCGTGGCGCGCACGCCGCCAGAAACACCACTCGTGACTCACGATCGACTCTCTCCCTGGTTGCAATTGAATAAATGGCTGGCGCAACACCTGTCCAGCAGCAAAAATGCGAACCTTACCGACTCGGTCAGTCGGCACTCGGTGCGAATGCGAACCACGCATGCAACTTTGGCGAACACGAGACGGCGCACACGACAGACCTTTGCGCCACGGGGCGCGACACGAACGTCGCAGAGATCAATCGCTCAGCAGCCTAACTGATAGGGTCCCCGACCGCTCATTGGTGGTCAGTCAGGGTGGCCATGCAGTGGCGACGGTGCTGTTGGTGGGAGGCTGTGTACCAGGCTAGATCTTGCAATGGTCGCTCTCGACTTCGTTTAAAGACCTTGCCTGGTGATCTCAAGATTTTGCACGCTTCTTGAGGTCCTAGCTTACGACTGGGGATACATCGAGCCGACGTGCCTCCAGACAGAGCTCGAAGTTTTGAGTGCATATCAGCATGAGATTCTCCCACCTTTCCACTACTGTTGCTTTTGCGTTGCTGGCCGGAACCAGCCTTGCTGCTCCATATGGCGGAATTGCGGACGAAGTGGCACAGGCCGCAGTCTCGTGCGTTGCATTCCTGCTTTCGGGTGACACCATGCTGGCCCCCACCCCGGGAATCACGAGCGGTAGCTGACCTTTGAGCTTGCTTCTCAAAGCGCTAGTGAGCATGCTCGCAACGATTTCGTAAGTCCAGGCAGTGTCGTTGCAGGATTTCCGAGCAGCAGCCAGGAAGGAAGAAGCTGAAGCCAGTATTTCGGCTACATACCGACGTGCCTCAGCTGTCTGGTGGCCCTGGACGCATCTTCTGGAAAGACAGTTCAGGCCAAACGCATCACATCTATCATGCGACGTGGGGACATTTCCAAATGATGCATGGCAGAGAGGGTCTCACACCGGTCACTGAAAGGCTCTGGAACGAAATTGTGAGTAAAGTGTGCTTCGACTGCTTGGCAAGCCAAGGGAAGAGCGTTTAGGAGCGTCAGCATCACCCTTGGCCCCGCACAGATGCAACACGCTCGTGACAATCAGCTCATTGCCGAAGGCGTGACTGCGGGAGGAAATCGACTGAGATACCAGGATGGATCGTGGAGATCGGCGCCGCCTTCATTCGCCGGTCAGAGTCGTGAGCGTGGACAGTCTTCGCGAGGCCCACGCACCTGATTCGAGGCTTGCAATCGCGTAGGCGCCTTGTTTTTCCACGAAGAGTCGCGGGTTTGGACCCATGAAGAAAGACGACACAAGTGTTGGTGTGCATGAGTGCGAGTCTGCAATGATGTTGGCGACACCGCACAAAACACAGCAATGACAGCCGCGTACGGCAATTTTGGGCGTATGCTTCCGGTGCGGTACTTACGTTGCGTGCTTTGTTTGAGTCTCACAACTTTCGGGTGCCAATGCGGTTGCGGATGCGTTCAAGAGGTGGCAAACGAGTAGTCTCGTGTTGTTTGGTGGGAATCTTGGCGAGATCATGTCCATCACTTGCCACACGGCTTGCGCGTGGCACGCACCATTGTGATTTGAGTCGAGAAAGCGACGGCATGAGCATCTTGGCCAAGCGCTTGCCAAAAAGTTCAAGCCGAGCCTACAAATAGCCGTGCCGTGCCACCGCCTTCGAGGTAGCACGTCACTCCAGCCAAATGTGGTGCAAGACCGCAGCTGGAAGCACAGGTGCGACGATTTGACGCAGACTTTTCAGCATTGACTACACATTGATTCGCCTTGTCAAATAGCTTGATCATGCGCTCCGCAGTGGCAACGGCGGCGTTGTTCTTTGCGCTTAATCTCTCGATCGCCGCTCGTCCGTCTGGCAGCGAAGCACCAGACTTGTCCCTTGCTCCGCCTCCTGCGCCAGCACGGTGAGTCGTACCGGATCCCAAGGAAGCATTTCGCAAGTCGAGAATTGAGCGGACTTCGAACCGAAACGCCTCGGCCTAGCACTCCTCATGTCCCGATGGTGAGGATCCATCCGAGCCATTCTTCTTGAGTGCTATAGCTTTCACTCACGCCCCATCGCGTCCTGCACAACAGCTTTTCGGCTCGCCAAAAGCGATCCACTGGTGGAACAAGAATGCTCAGAACGTGCACACCTATCATACAGACCCGGGCCACTTTGTTAGACTGCACGGAGAGAACAAGATCGTGGCTGGTACGGAAGAGGTGTGGCGAGAGGTTGTGAGTACTCGCTCGACGCGCTGCTGTCGAACCTGAATGACTTGCTCTTCGCGCAGCCACTCCTTGCGCCCCCTTCTTCTGCCGAACGTTCGCAGAATACGCACGCAACGTTGGCACCGCTCAGGGCTGCGGGCAAAAACTCTTCCAATCAAGTAGCTGAGTGGAAGAATGGAATGTGGAAGGCGGTCACGCCACTTCGACGCCTCCCTTGAGCTCCAAAGATTGGCAAAAGTATTCGCTTCGCTTCGAAGTCTGCGCCTGTAGGCTATGTAGCTCAGCAACCCACCACTGTCGCGACGTGTGTTCGACACAAAGATCTGCCGAGACAAAGCTCTGTGCACCTAGAGGGCGCCAACACGACGGCACTTACTTGGACCCGAGAACGTTGTGAAGCCGGAGTGTATTTCGCCGGGCGATTCTAACGCCACAGAGTCCAGAGCTTCTGAAAGCGCTGCGCCGCAGATTTTGGTGTGGGGTTGCTTGACCAATCCCGTCATCCGACGACAGCTACTTGGACGGACGCGATGGTAGGGTGCAAGATGAGTCCGACGGCTTTTGACCGGGAGAGGCTTAGACGCCACCCGAGCGCTCTCGTGATCTCGGCCCCAGCCGGTCTGTCGAGTGCAGTGTGACGTCGCATGTCGTAGTATGAAGTTCTTTGTTGCCGCGTGTCGTATCGTGAAGTCTTTAGTCGCGAAGTCAGCGTGCTGTCGTGTGAGGTCATTGCCACCCCTATCACAAGACCTGACAGTCCCCTCGTTCGAGTGGCTCCTTGCCACCAAGGACGGTCGGATGTGAGAGCCAGGCAATTTTTTTGGATGGGTGCATGGCGAGACGCATTGCGAGGTCAGACCCTCTTGCAGAGCTTATAAAAGCTCTTGTATCGGAACGGTCTTGAGCCCCATCAGCAACACTTGCACGCTCCAGCCCCTCGGCGCGAACTAGTCCTTCCTCCAAGTTGTTAGTTTGCATCGCCTGCGAACGTCGCACTATAGTGCTGTTCTCCTGATAAATACACTCGACATGAAGCTCTCCTTCTGCTTGGCCTCGGTGGTCGTCATGTGCATGTGCAGCACAGTTGCTGCAGCGCCTAAGGTCACCTCCGTGCTTCTGCCGCAGAACACGGTTGAGCAATTCGTGAGTCAGCTTGAGGAGATGCAGCCTCTACGAAGTCGCTCAGGGCCGAAGTGTGCTGATGGACCTGGACCCCGACCACGCCAATACGCTCCTGCAGCTGACCAGCGCACCGCCAAGGATCCGTTGGGTCAATCATCAAGGCCGTACGCTCCACGAGTACGACACCGATCTAGCTACGTTCGTCCGGACGCACGGACAGCAGAGATGGGGTGCACGTCCTGAGAACTTGCCATCGTTATCAAGCGTGGTGAGAGGAGATCTCGGCGGTGTGATCGCGCTAGATACAGGCGCCGAGCTGACTGCGTTGCACTTGCTTGCTCTCTGGACGCCACCTTACAGATGACACGGGCGTCCGCAAGCGGGTTGACCGCCGTAGGCGACAAAAACGGTGTGCCACACGAGTTCATCAACGGAGTCTGGCGAAGAATCCACGGGCGTCTCTGAGGCACTGCTGGGGTCGCTTCGAGGCCAAATAGTGTCGCCTTGGAGTCGTAGCGCCTCTTGGAGTGCCCACAGCAAACCTCCATTCTGCGCTGGACGCAGCAGATGGCAGAACAGTGACCAAAGACAAATCAGCGACCATCGCGGCAGAGACGCAAAGGTTGATCTGCTCACCGTCACACGAAGCGACTCGCTATGCAAGTATTTGAATCACTGCATGTGTGCGCACTCAGATGCTAGCAGAGAATGACACAGATTCTCGTGACAGACGTCCGCCTTTGCGACTCGAGCAAACTGCATCGTGACGACTTGTGCGAGGGCCTTCTTTTAGAGCTAGCCAAAGCAAATTTTTGGTTCTTGCTAGGCGATCCACGATTCCCAATGTTGAGTCACGAATGTCTATGCCGCCAGCTCATTCCTTGCGTGTTCGCTCTTCAAAGTACAGATGGTTACGATGGGGGGTCAATTGTGGATGTCAATCGTTGCGGGAGCCGATCAAAACCACAAATCGCTGACCACTAAACAACACATCTTCAGGCGGGGCTAGGCTAATTCTAATTGTGAATCTTGAATTCAAATCTTGAATCAGAATGAAATGGCTTGCATGCTTGCATGTGGACGCACGCCACAAATCACGTGAAGCACTCCAAAGCACCCCGCCTTACGCGCGAGTGGTGATATGACAGACAACAACTCAATCAAAAATCAATTCAACGACTAGCATTCAGATATGCGTCACGCCAGCTGTTCAAGAATCGTGGCCCACGGCTTAGGGGCAGCTATCAATATATATAATCACGAATGTACACAGCCCTGGTCGTGATGCAAACCTTCGCGAAACATGCAGCCGCGAGCGAGCTGGAGCTTTCAGCACATTCGTGATTAGCGTGCAGCCCGTGATCGGTGCGCCTGCACATCAGCTGCTGCGCCGCCTAGGAGGGCGAAAGGGACGATCGAGCAAGCAAGCGGCCGTGCGAGCCGGCATTCATGCGTGCTGCATGCTGTGAATGATGTGCGCGTGTGGACCGTATCGACGCGCGACTTTGGCGGCTCAAGCATCTTCCCCGCAAACGTGCTGATCCCTTCTCCGACATCAGGCGCAGCTCTTCGAGCCAAGCATTCGGTCGACTGTTAGTGAATCGCAAACGCGCTCGCTTCCCTCTTCTACCATACGATTGTCAAGATCAACAAGCAAGCTTGCCTCACCGCTCATTGGAGTCCTTCACAAGCTAGCTAGCACGCGATGGCCGCTGAAGTTCCAGCCTGGGAGGGCTACACCCTATACATCGCCCCAGAAAGCTACCTCTTCGATCCCATCACTGCGAAGGATGCAGGGGAAAAGAAGCAGGTGCTCAAGATCGAGAGGGATGAAGAGGGCAGCATCACTTTGCTTGGTACGTTTGCTGGTGGCGACAGACTGGACGATTGGCTGAGAGCCTCCTTCTCTTTGCCATCCGGCGCGACCTCCGCCAATGCGTGGCCTTTGCACAGATTCGATGCCCACGCTGACGCTGCGCGAAAAAGAGCTCAAGGTGTACGGTGAGCATAGCATAGCAGCGCAGCAAGTCTTCAAAGCTGCTACTGACCGCGATTCGCCATCTCGCGTGCAGGTATCCTTGGTCAGATCACGCTGCACACAGCTCCATATCTCGTGCTGGTGACGGCTCGCAAACAAGTCGGCACTTTGAGCGGTCATGCTCTCTACCAAGCCACCGACTTTCGCATCTGCCCCGTACCCAGGGACTCGAAGCCCAGCGTCATGGAGCACCCTATAGAGCGCACGCTGCTGGAATTGCTCAAGACTCATCTCTACTCTGCTCCATTCTACTTTAGCTACACTTATGATCTGACCAGCTCCTTTCAGCGATCAGAGAGTCAGCGCGGAGCTCTCTGGCAGAGGGTGGGTTGATCAGCTAGCAACCGCTTAGAGAAGCTGATCACCTCGGCTGACCACTTTGCATTCCGATCCGCCCGCACAGGCGGACGAGCGCTTCTTCTGGAATCGGTACATCAGCACGGGATTCATCGAGACCACGGCGTCGGGCAAGACGGATCTGTCCAAATTCATTCTCCCCATCATCTTTGGCTTCTTGGAGCTGAAGCAGATCAACATCAAGGGCAATGATCTCACCTATGGTCTGATCGCAAGGCGCTCCAGACACCGAGCAGGGACGAGATATTTCTCTCGAGGCATAGACGCCACGGGCGAAGTCTCCAACTTTAACGAGTCCGAGCAATTCATCATCCTCAATAAGGGGGGCAAAGAGACTCGAAGCTCGTACGTGCAGACCAGAGGCTCGGTGCCAGTATTTTGGGCAGAGGTCAACAATCTGCGATACAAGCCTGATCTTTTGATTATGGACAAGCACGAGACAGTGAGTGGGCTGTGGAGTCCGCTTTGCGTAAGCTACGGGGCTGAGGCGATGGGACTGCACTTCTTTGCATAGGCCGAGGCTACCGCTTTGCATTTCCAAAAGCAAGTGGCAACCTATGGAGAAAATTATTTGGTCAACCTGGTCAACCAAAAGGGTTATGAGAAGCCAGTCAAAGACGCTTACGAGAAGGCTGTCGAAGAGCTAGGCAACCCTCGAGTCCACTACACGTACTATGACTTCCACCATGAGTGCAAGGGTATGAAGTTTGAAAAGGTCTTTGGGCTGATCGAACGGCTCCAAGGCAAGGGACTTCGAGCGGAAGAGTGAGTGGTCCACGATGGGTGCGAATCCCTTCGAGCTCGCAAACGCTGACTGCAGCGTTCAACGTTCGCCTATCAGCTACTTCCAATCAGACGGAGGCCGCACCACGCGCAAACAGTCTGCAGTGGTTCGCACGAACTGCATGGATTGCCTGGACCGCACCAACGTTGTTCAGAGCACCCTTGGTCGATGGGTGTTGAACCAGCAACTGCGCGAAGTCGGCGTATTGGCCTCGGGAGAAAAGTTCGAGGACCAAAAGGAGTTTTGGCACATCTTTAGAAATGTCTGGGCTGATCATGCGGATGTGGTCAGCAAGGCTTACTCGGGGACGGGCGCGCTCAAGACCGACTTTACTCGGTGAGTGCGAAGGAGCTGTGGTCCAATGTGCAGGATAGGCGACTGATTGCGCGTTGCATTGGACCTTGCCCGTCTGCGTGGCGTACAGCACTGGCAAGCGATCGTGGGAAGGCGCGCTGCAGGATGGAGTCAACTCTATGACTCGATACGTCCGCAACAACTTCTTCGATGGTAGTCGGCAAGACGCCTACGACTTGTTCACTGGAGCTTGGACGCCGAGAAAAGGCGCCACGGGAGACAAGCGTGCCATTCTCGTACGCTTGGTGTGTAGATGTGATTGTGCATTTGATCGGTGTGGCTGCTAACATTTCGAGCGATGCGGTGCGCCTCAGATGCCGTACATTTGGCTGCTCTCGGTCGCGATTTTGGTCGCAGCCTTCTTGGCACCTCGCTCAGACGATGGTGAGTCGAATGCAACGCTTCTCGCCGGCTCCCGCCTTCCACGAGCTGACCTGGACCGAGGCCCCACCACGCGACAGACGCCACGCGCAACAAGATCACTGCTGTCGCAGTCATTGTAGCGTTCACGTCCTTCTACTTCATCACCGAGCGAGGCTTGGAGTACGTGGCCTGGCCAACCCTCAACAGACCTGAAGAGACCATGTACTACGATGGACCTGGCTACTCTTCCGGACGACACGGCAGGGCAGCCATCTCTGCGCACTACGAGGGGAACAGGAAGGGCCCAAAGTCTACAGCTAGAGATATCCTCGCTGAACCAGCCAAGGTCGCTAAAGGAAGAAGGGGCGGAGAGTATACGCAGTAGGTCTACAAGCGACCATGCGGGTCCGCGAATGCGGCACAGCATGAGATGGCGCCTACCCGCGACTGCATTCATGTCTCGTGAGATTTGCGCTCTGTACATAGACAAGGAATGAAATGCATTTCGAAATGGCAGGCAGTGGTGGGCGTTGCACATCATAGCCAGCGCAAACGTTTTCAGAGGTCCGGTGATTCCAATCGACGCTTCTGTCAGGACAGTCATGAACGCAAAGATGGCCTCGTCAGCGCAGCTTCAGTCGGGGCGCGAGTTGTATTTCGGTGAATAGGCACTCACCCTTGCAAAAGACTCGTCGCCACTGTCACCGTCTGCGCTTTGTTCGTCGGCCCTCTTGCGCTTCGTGTCGTGCTCGCCTGGCGCATCCGAACCAGTCGCGTCATTTCCAGCTCTCTGTCTACCTTCCAACTCCTCGTACACCTCCTCCGCGCCGGCGGGAATGACTCTCCCACCGGCTTGTTCCTCTTGTTCCTTGTAAACCTCGTCGTGTTCCTTTCTCCTCTCCTCCTCCTTTGCGATCCTATCTTCCTCCTCCTTCAACCTCAAATGACCCCAACCCCCTCTGCCCGCATCGTACTCTTGCCTATACTCGTCGCGCACTTGTCCACCTGATCGTCCGCGTCCGTACTGACGACCATCCGTGTATCCGGGATCCAAATCGCAACGGATCACTCGCTCGTCCAGCTTCGTACCCGAAATCTGCCGCATACAGGCCAAGGCTTCCGCGTGGGTGTAGTACCTATGCATCGCAGAGGAGGAGCATGCGTGTGAGAGGAATACAACTGGGTGAGCGTGAAAACGGCGCGTCTCTCAGAGTGACAGGAGAAGTACCCACTCGACAAAGGCGAAACCGCATGGTGTCTTGTTTATCCGATCTAGACCCATGATGATCCTTCGAATGCCGCCTCCGGAAGAGGCATTGCAAACCCTACCAAACAATTCGTGCATCTGTTCTTCGGTCGTGTAGAAGGAGAGGTTGCCGACGTATAGCGTCGCGGTCTTGGACAGGGCCATGTACGTAGCTGCTCGAGACGATGTGTTGCGAGAGTCCCGATCTGGAAGCATTCAATTGTATGCGCTTCGTCAGCTAGGGATTGGTGGCAGGATGCGGACTTGTCTTGGATGAAGAGGAATATGTTCGCTACTACTCACAGGACGACGGAGCGTCTAGACTGTCCACCACGGACGACATTGTGTGCAGGAACCTGCCACGAAACTGATCGCTTGACCGAGTCTGGGGATGCTCTGCTCTCGATTCGCGTGCGAGTGTCAAGGGCGTCTGGATTGCGGGTCGAGCCCATGTCAGGAGTGCGAGGGAAGAGCCAAGTCCGACTGGAGGGGGGTGCGCTGTGGGTAGTCGGAAGTAGCGCGGTGCACAGACGGGCACCTGTATGCATGGTCCTCTCGTGCGGGTTGCGGCGCATACATACCACTCGTGCAGGCCTCCACCGCGAGCCTCGATTATGTTCTTCTTGCCGGTACCTACGCTTCCTGCCTACTTGACGCTGCCGATCACCTAGCGCTCGTCGTCGATCGAACACATTCACTCTTTGGGCTTGCCAACATTCAAAACGCTTGGCTTCTGAAAGACTCGACCGGATCGGTCAAGAATAGTGTCGGGCCCCAAGAAAGGCGAAGAGTCTTTGTGCTTGCACAGCGACGCGGTCACGAGCGCAGTGCCACGCGATGCGATGCCTCTTCAAGTGTACTACTTAGGACCGCCGGGCACTTACACTCATTCCATTGCTCTGCACTTCATACAAGAGGGCGATTCCGCAAGACCGAGCAGTACGATCCGGCAATCTTTGGAGGATGCTGCTTCAGCTTGGTCCGAAGATGGACACAGGCATCAACAGTCGGTCGTGCCGCTCGCACTGATGCCGTATGAGAATAGCACTTATGGATTGGTCCTCGAAACTCAAAGTGTTCTCATAGGTCCAAGGCATGGTGAAGCAAACGTCGTTCTGGGATCGAATGGGCAGCTGGCCTTGCCGAATGAGCTGTCGCCGGTCGTGGTGGCGGAAGCTACGAGAGCTGTGAGGCATGCGTTGTTGGGCAGTCGACGTGCGCAAGATAGGCTAAGGAGGAAAGGTGGAATGCAGGCGCTTCATGCTTTGGAAGAGCTGGACTTGTCCAGGGTGACCAAGGTGATGAGTCACGAGCAAGTGAGTAGACCATCTGATAAGGGATCGCATCTACTATTCTATTCTGCGTTTTGCCAGTGTCTCGGTAGGCCTTTTACACTGACTGCCTCGCACTCTGTCGAATGTACCGTCACCACTAATGCTTTTCAAGGCTTTAGGTCAATGCTCCGACTTTCTGACTCGCAATTGTCCAAAGGCTGAGCGAGTCAGCGTCGCGTCTACAGCGCTCGGTGCACGTCTCGCAGCCTCAAACATCTCCTCTGAGAACACTGGGAGCACGAGCGCATGCCGCCCATCTTCTTCGACACCTCTCTCTGCACAGCACGCTGCTGCGAATGATGAGGAGACTCGCAGGCTCTGGGGAGAGGCTGTTATTGCCTCGATCGTAATTATCGCCTACCCCACGCCTTACTTCTTCATCGCCTTTGGAGTCATGGTCCTCCTATGCTTGTGGACCGGCACCTATTACCGCACGAGCGCACGCGAACTCCTAAGGTTAGTTCAGGACGGAGGTCGTGCGGCGAGGCCCATTGACAGCGATAAAGACGAGGTCGTGGTGGCTATCGGAACGGAGCAGGCAGCCGAGGAACTCGATTTGGTTGTATTGCAGCGCAACATCCAAGACAGGGATGGTGAGTGTCTCTTCTGCCGGTTTCCGAGAGAGATGGCCTCTTCTTCACGAGTCATGACCCGCCGTGGTCAAGGGTGCATAGAGACACTTTGCTGATGCGCGATATCGCTCGCACCGGCTTCGCACACAGACAACGAAACGAGGTTCTTGCTCGTGGCGCCCAATCAACAAGTGGCGAGGGCCTATCGCAGTGCCCATCCTCAGCCACTCGAGTGCTCACGAGCCATGCTGCTCCTACGCACCGACAGTCATTCCACCAAACTGACATCCCTTCTTGGCGCTTTGTGCGCAACTGCCAGTTCTCGACCAGACCAAGCGCCTGTTCGTATTCGCAAGGTGGATCGCAAAGCCTTTCCTCTGGGCGACGAGACTCGGGGATGGCGGAAAAAAGAGGAGAGGGATGATGCGTCTAGTCGCGAGACTGCGCAAGCGAAACAAGGTAGCGCTTGGCCCAGCGTCTACTTTGTAGAAGTCGAAAGTGCCGTCTCGTCCGCGCGACTCGACGACGACTTGCGAAGGCGCCTTAAAGCGACGCACGATCTGGAAGGCGTTCGGATGTTGGGAGTGTGGCAAGTCTCATAGCATCAGCCAAATCAGTACCCAGTGGGCAGTGGCATTCATTCCTGTCCAGAGTCACCCGTCCCGACACACGCACTAAGCGTCCTTCTTGACTCATGAAATTCTACGTGCGGAGCTTTAACGAGTCCGCTGGAGTGAGCGCAAAGATCTTCGACGACTTCTTTGCGACCAGCAGGCCAAGTCGTTATCAAGGTTGTTGGTCATGCACGAAATGGTGCGTCAGATGCTGCGATGATTGTGATGAGTGCGCGATGTATTGTGGTGAGCATGCAACAGTGCAGCACGGGGAGGTACAACTTTGAGCCGCAATGCTCAGAACTACGCAGCGTCTTTTTGGGCCTGGATAATTTTGCTAGGCCATCTACCTCTACTCAGATCGTCCCTCCTCTTCCTCTTCGCATCGTACGCCACTCTAAAAGGCGGGTCTTCATCGAAGCCCAATTCCCTCCTCAATTCCCCAAAGTCCTGCTCCCATCTCTTTTCCCAATACACATTGATCAGAGGGCTAGTGATCTGTCCCTGTCTCCAAGCCCACGCTGCCAGACCTCTTGCCGGACCGCTCGCTGTAGCATGCCCTTGTGCGCTTCCAGATTCAGACTCGAGCCCAGACCCGTACGCGAGCCCAAAGCCCAAAAGCTTTGCCCTTTCCTCCGCCGAGAGACGTAGGGGACCGGCAAGGGCGGACAAGTAGGATACGGGCAGACCAAAATGACTCGCTTCGAACATCTTCACCACCGTCTCGCCCAAGTGGGAGACGGGCATGAGGCATAGCAGGTGGTGCATATCGTGCGATTGTCGATTGCGAGCCATAATGTAGCGCAAAGTTGGATCGTCTACGTGAAGCACCTGTGGGTGAGGTGGGGGCGGTCATGCTCTCGAGGAACGCATGCTTATTGCGCAAACGCTTCAAGGCCTCCTCGCCATGACTCACCTCTGCCCTCGTATCCGGACCAACGCCACACCAATCCAACCATCTGGTATACTCGTTCCCAAACGTTCCCTCCGGCAAGCTTCTCAGGTATGCCATATCCACCGTCTTTGTATTGATCTGAGGTCTGTCCAACAAGATCCGCCTACCTTCTTCGCTCGCCAGCATCTGATCCCTCATGCGAGCAAGATGAAAAGGTTCGGAAGAGAGTTCGGAGAGCAGGGCTATCTGATCGCCGCGCGAAGGATCTAGGAGAGATGCTGCGGCTGATCCCAAGCCCAAGAAGAATTTGTGCGGCGATGAAAGAGGAATGGGGGCGGAGGTATGCAGAGATGATGAGCTCGCGTCTGCGTCTGCGTTCGTGCTTGTGCTTGTGCTTGTGCCAGAGGTGGACGATGATGCGGTGCGAGATGATGATGAAGAGGAGGAGCGCGAGGTGATGGCGGTGCTGCGGGCGCGGAAACAAGCCGATTGACGCGGACACGCCACTGTCAGCCTCTCTCCTTGTCGTTCCCATCCTGTCCTGCGACAAGCCTCTCGAGCAGCATTCAGCACTGTGCGCTCCATGTCTGGTGCCGTGTGCTAGGGGCAACGAATGCTCGGTGGGAACTGCACGGATGAGATGGGATGGGGTGAAGAGGAGATGCAAAGCTTTGAGAAAGAGCAGCGCTTCCTCTAGTTGACTATGCAGACACTTTCTTGAGCCACGCTCGACCTTTGGCTTGACAGCGATCGATGAATCGCGCGACCGATGGCGAGCTGAGTGTGAGTGGGTGGGTGAGTGATTGAGCAAGCCGCAAGGGTGTGCGTGCGTACCGCGGTGTACGCGTTGCTAGTGTCGAAGTGGCGGGCGCAGGACGCAGACGCAGGACGCAGACGCAGACGCAGACGCAGACGCAAACGCAACCGATCCCACGAATCTGATCCTGAATCGGTGAATCACGAATGGAGTGAGTCTCGAGTCAAGAGTCAGAGTCTGAGTGTGAGTCTCGAGTCTTGCGTGCAGGGCCTTCGAGTCAAGATTGGTGAGTCGTAATCAAGTCATTTCATTCGATACTCTAATTTGATACTCTGATCGTAACTTCACAATTTCCACACAGCTTTCATCTTCAACAATTAAGCGATGACTTTGACCCGCCGCCTTGCCTTTCTCCACAAACATTCATCAAGATTTGTTTCTGCCATATCATCAGCAGGCGATGCCAATTTTGAAACACGTGACCGGTGGCATCGCGCCAAATTTTGAATTTGATTCGTGATTGGATTTTTGATTCTTCTGGCGTGCGTGCAGGAGGCGCCAAACGCGTGGAAGCTGATCCTCGCGTCGAAACACGAATGTGAATCACGAATGGTGAGCGAGGTCGTTGTGCGATTGAGTGAGCGCAGCTGATGGTCAAGACTCACGACTCACGACTCACGACTCACGACTCACGACTCACGACTCGCACATACATGCACACCCTGCCTCGTCCCCCCCCGCGACACTCCGTCGTGTCAAGCCTTTGCGCCATCATCCTCGCCCCTTGTCTTCTCCTCGCCATCAAGACCGAGCAGGCATTCACTTCTCATCACAAAGGCAGCCCGACCACTGCCCTTCCCGCACCATGTCAGCAGCAGCAGCAGCAGCAGCGGTGGGAGCTTCGAGCAAACGTCGAGCTCGTTCATCCAGCCATTCATCTTCCTCTTCCTCTTCCTCTAGCGACATCGACTTTATCAACGTCTCTTTCGACTTTACATCCCCCACCGACATCGATTTCCACTCTATCAAGCGTCAATTGCAGCAACTATTCTACACCTACTCGACGCGCGATGAGCAATTGGATCTTGGAAAAGTGGCGGATCATGTGATTGGCTTGGCTGCGTCGAGTGGAGTGGGAACAGTGGTGAAGGTGGATCAAGAAGATGATAGCGATCCTTATGCTTTTGTGAGCTTGGTCGATCTAAAAGTGAGTCGGCGAGTCGGATCAGAATGCTACACTGCATGCAGCGCATGACGCAGGCGCAAACGCAAACGGCAAGATTCCGCCATTCCCTCACACCTTGACCTCGCTCTGCTCTGCTCACTCGCACCTTTGGCACGCACACCGCCCAGGACACCTCCTCCGCAGCTTCTCAGACGCTGCACAACTTCTTCTCTGCAAGACTCGCCTCCAAGTCCGTCGGCTCCAGCTCTAGCGCCTCGCAAGCCATCTCCGACGTTCTGTCGTCCAGCAACACTGCCCATCGACCGTATTTGGTCCTGCACGAGAGGATGGTGAACCTGCCTGCTCAGATAGCCACTCCGCTCTATCGTATCCTGGCACAAGAAATCGAAAGTCAATTGGCACAGGTGAGCCAAGCTCCACCGTGCTTTTGCAGCAGGCACGGCAGCTCACTAGACGCTACTCGGGCTAACACGACCTGTTTCGCTTGTGTGACCCTTTTCCAGAAACCCACCCACCTGATCTTCTTTGCTCGCATATTTAGCGCCGCAGCCTTCAGCTCCGACGAAGAATCGGCATCCGAAAACGGTGCATCTTCCACGAAGCAACAGCAACAAAAGAAGAAACGAAGAAGAGGAACAAAGACGAAGACCTCATCATCGTCATCGGCTGCTGATGCGCTCCGAAGATTGCAATCTGGTGCAGCACCGATAGGAGGCGGTGCGAATGGGAAGGATCAAACATCGATGGGCGCGGCCGGCTCGGATCATCACGCTTTTCATCCCGAGGACGAATTCATACTCAAGGTGCGTCTGCGTCTTTCACCTCCACGTGTTTCATAGTCTAGCCATAGTCCCAAGCTCGTCCAACTTGGCCAAGACTTTGGGGGAGGCAAACGTCGACTTTTTTTGACCATCAAACTGATCCCCCCCCCGGCGCCTCACTCCTCATTCTCGCAGCACGCTACAGCCGCTCACATTTTCCGCTTTCCACCTCCAAAGGATGCGGCGGATACGTACGAAGCGCCAATGTATGGACGCATGCTGCTGGTAGAGTACGCCAAGCTACCTGTCCTCCTGCAAGATCTGGAACAGGCTTTCGGTCAGCCTGCTGCTGCTGCTTGAGGGGCGTCTAGCTTAGCACTCCAAGACTCTTTCTCCTTCCAACTTGGCGCCAAAAGTTCAGGATCAGCAGGTATCTGCTTGAAAGGGTGCGGCTTGCTCATCACACCCAAAGCCTGCCTCCCAATCCCCCTTTCATGTAAACACCGAGCCGGCTCAGAGCTTGTGATTGATCAGATCAGATCTGGCATCTTGTTCGACGTATATTTGGTCATGGTCAAGCAGACGAGACGGCTTTGGGCGAACGGAGGTACGCAACCTCCAACGCGAGGACAACAGCTGAACTGCACGTCCTCCACCCTGAGCGCACACGCAACATCACTTTCGCTCTTTTCCCCCTGTGCTTTCACGTACTGGAGCGTTGAATTCAATCCACTCCGATTCGATTCCCTTGCCTCATCAATGCCTCTGCAGACAATAGCATCATCATCACCCAGCAGTCGTGTCGCAGAGGCCGTCTGTCGATTGTACTGCCAGCATCATCTCCGACAAAGACCTGCAAAGACTCTCCTCAAGCGTGCATGAGGTGAAGAAGCGCCTCGCCGCCTGCACTCTCGTTCGGCCACTCGGTCTGGCCCCAGAATCACGCAATGACGGGCATTCTTGGTCTGCTTGACTTGTGTTACATGACATTTCAAGTATGAGTTTTGGTCCGAACACTTTTCAAAGAGTGAACAGCCGCTTCAATGGAGCATGCTTGGGATGGGCATGTGTACTTGACGAGAGAGAGGGAGCTCGTTCGAACCCCCTCGGTGAGAGTGTTGCGAGACGGACGGGGCAAGTGATCGATAGTAGGCAGCCGGGGTGGAAGCAATTGGTCAAAGAGACTCGAGACGGTTTATGCCTCCTCCTTCTTCGTTGGAGCACTGCCAGCGTTAGCAGCCTTGCGGTTGATGAGGTTTTGGCGGCTGTTGGGCAAGGCATCAAAGAGATTCAGAAGTTAGACTTCGCATACGCCCACCGACACTGTTCCAAGCCGAGCCGAGCCCTTTCCCCTTTCGCCCCGGCAGTCCGATCTGCGCCTCGACTGTGAAACCAATCCCATCTCGCTTTGCGCCACACTCACTCTCTGTCCATCTTCAGCTTGGTGATGACGACATTGGAAGGGCTGATCGGCAGAGCAACGGTAGTTCCGTTGGTCTTCTCGCGGCTCACACGCTCAACGTGGATGACCCACTTCTTCCTGTAGACTTGTTGAACTCTTCCCTCGCGACCCTTGGAGCTTCCGCGAACGATCAGGACCTCGTCATCCCTGCGCACGGGGAGAGAGCGGACCTGTATGACGTGTTCCAAAATGCAGACCGAGTCAGTTGAACGCGCCCTGATCGTCGATGCCAGACGTCCCGCTTTGCTCTGCTCGGCCACGACATAGCCAAACTACCTGCCAGACCTTAGTCGGACCGGTACACCTCCACTCGTTCATTGTTTGACTCTTGAGACTTGGCTGTGTTAAGCGCGCGAGCTTCGACCGCCTTGCCCCAGGATGCATGGCCATGCAACGATGAATGGCACGCATCAACCAGGAAGCGCGACACTACGTTGAACCCAGAGCCCGGCATCGCCAAGTCGCCGTTCGAACATCAACTCCATGCACGCATCCCCTCTCCTTGCCTCGACGACCGGCGCTGACCATCCCATCCCGATTCCCATCACTGCTATGCTTTTTTGCAAATCCTGCTCCTCCTCGCAACACGACCACCTCAACTCTCTGCGGGGACGAACAACTCACGCCATGTTCACCTCGCAGTTCCTTGGAGAGGCCGCTGCTCATGATCTTGCGCCTAAGGTGGCTAGGCGCCGAGAAGTGCAGCTTGCGCGAAGTGCGTCGACTACATGTTTGTGGTGTGTTGCAACGACCAATGCGAATAGCGTTCATAGATGGCGATGGAGCATGGCGGGGTCGAAATGGACCGGGAAGTTGGACGTCGGCGAAAGTATGCGCATTAGGGGGCATGCAGCACAGCCAATCGATTCGAGCGTTGAGGAATGCGGAAAAAGGGGCGAGGGGAGAGGAGAGCATTAGTCATCGCAAGCACAATCCGAGGTTCCGAGCTGGAGAAATGTGTAACGCACGAAGAGGACACCATTTTCTATTCAATCGAAAGGGTTCGTGGAGGCGGGCGGATGCGGAAATCGAGTCAGTTGAGGATGCTCGCGATGGCCGTGAAAGTTTCGTGACGTTGCTCACGGGCGATTGATATTCTTGAGGTGGTCGATGGTAGAGGAGAGGAGCCAGTGTGAAGCTTCGTAGCAACCTAGCTGGGACCTTTCTTCGACGTTTGGCCACGCGAGACACAGGTAGCAGCAGCCTACAGCAGCCATGCAGCAGCCGGGTCAAAGGCCCATGCTGGAGCCTCGTCGTCGCGCTGCCCGCAGCGCGCTGTGCGCGCAATCCTGCGCCTCGGCCGAGCTTTCAAAGTCCATCGCTACGCAGGAGACGCGTTCTTATCTAGAACAATCTGCATTCTCCAACCTCAAAAAATGCTGAACTCACACTGGTCACGAATGTGTGTGGTTCTCAGGGTGATTCTGCATTCACAATTGATTCACGATTCGTGGTGGTCAAGAAAGGAGGCAGTCTTCAAGACGACGTCGCGAATCGCGAATAGCTACGTGTGTGCGGATGAAGCTCAGTGCCGTCTTTGGTGGTAGCTACAGTCTGATGCTCGCTCTGCTCCACCAGGCAAAGGTATCGCATTGTGGAGAGGGTACCTCAAGCAAAATCGCAACCAAATTTGGCAAAGGGGACCCGCGTCCATTTGGAGGTGGGGAATCTTCTTCGTTACGCGTACAGGCACATTTTTACTCCTTCTTGCGACTCTTGCGAACTGTCTTCTTCTTGGCTGAAGATTCGCTTTCAGACTCGGTCGGCGTTCCAGCCTGCTGCTGCTCTGACGCTTTCTTTGCAGCTCTCAGTTTGGTAGATCGTACATCGGCATCTTTTGGCTCCGTCTTGTCAAAAGCTGTCGTGTAGAATGTAGCACAGCACCTTTGATATCAGCCGTGCGATTCTCCCTAGACGCTCGCCTCTCTGCTCACCTTCCCCATGAAAAGTCGGAAACCTATGGAATAGTATGGCCAGGTCAGCTCAGCCTGCCGGACGCCCATGTGGGAGCCCACTCACCTTGGAGTGCCATCTAGTGGGAACAGAGTGGTGCATAACGACTTGAGCTGCGCACGCTGCATGAAACACAGCCCTGCGACTCACCCATCGACAAATCCTGAAAGCGGTACACGACTATCTTTCCCACCTCTGGCTTGAAAGCGAAACGCAGAGAGTCTGTCAAACCGCTGCCGCAGTCGAATTCCAACCCACTAAAGGTGCCGCGTGCGTGTCAGCTGAGAGGCCGAGCATCCGGTGCAAGGTCCCACTCACTTTGCCATCTTCAAACGCAAAGAACCACATGCGTTGGCCAGCCGTCCTGTTCCTTTGTTGTGTCCGACCACGATGGCCTCAGCATCGTAGAAAGACTTTACCTGCAGGCGTCAGATACGGACGTCAGAAGATCGTTTGCAAGTCGGCGAGGAACGTCCAGCAACGTACCTTTTGCAAGGCGTCAGATCGACTGCTTTTGTAAGCGCTTCCCGGCTGGCGAAGCATCACTCCTTCTCCTCCCTTGGCTTCGACATCGCGCAGCCACTTGACTAGATGGTCTTTGCTTTCGCAACGGACCTGGCCCAGGAATGCCACGCATGAACGCTATAGGAACAAGAGGAAGCCGCCTCAGTGCCCGTGCCGGACCTGAGTTTTGTCAGACATTCGAAGATCGCTTACTTTGGCTTTGATTACATCATCCACGAGCATTTCACCATCAGGTGCGACTTTTCGTGCCATATCCCACCTCTCTTCCACCGGCTTGTCCACCCCCGTAACGTCGAATATCTATGTAAAGAACAGTCGGGAAATGAGCAGATCTTTCTCAATTGAAGCGTTCGAATTCGAGCTCACCAGAAAAGATATGCTACTCCAGTCACCTCCCGGCTGCGCAAGGTTGAGATGGAGGTCAGCAGTCTGCGTGCACAACATCTTTGCCTTACGATTTTGACTACACACTCCAGAACGAATATGGCCGCTGCGAAGCAAGATTCGTGCGGGATGAGCGTTGGTCGAGGACGATGACCACAGGATATCCCATCGGCCTCAAACCCGAGCTGACCCACCTTGTAGCGTCAAATGCGTCTCGATCGCGAAAGAGTTCCCCATCCAGCTGCACGTCTTTCGGCAGGCGTTTCTTGAGGCTGTCCGGCGCATCTATCGGCTTTCCAGTCCGGCTCACAAACGCTTTGCCGGTCCAGTGGCCCCTGGGTCGCCGATGCGATTGTGTGCAGAAAGTACGCATGAGTCGATTGCCGAGCGATATCGAGCGCCGCAAGAAGCTCACCTTACGCCGTCGAGCTTCTCTGACATCCAATATCCTGCAGGATCCTTCTTGCCCTCAAGTTTCCAGCTGTTGGCAAGCATGACGCCTTTGAAAGGCTTGCCGTCAGCTCCTATGGGACCATTGCCGATGTCGACGCCATCAACTGCATCCCCTTCGTCTTGCGAAACCTTGCGCTTTTTGCTAGAAGAGGCGTCTGCTGATGATGATGAAGTTGCAGTGTCGGTACCCTTTCGTTTGCCTCTGCCAGAGGGCTTGGCAGCAGCTTTCTTAGCGTCCGTCATTGCTTGTGCTGTAGCAGAGCTTCCTTCGTCCGTCCTCTTGAGCTCGTACTCATTGCCAAGCAAGCCTTTCAGATGCTTGCAGCTCCTCTGATTGGGCGCTTTGCCCCGCCCCTGGAACGCCCATGCCGGGCAACTACAACTGTAGTGATCACTTAGCCTCTTGAGCTTGTACGTCGAGCTTCCGCTACCTTTCACCTCTTTGATCTCGTTGATCTGCAACAGCACTTTGGGGGCTAGACCGTCCACCTCTGCAGTAATAATGTCGAAGTGCACCATCCTCTTCAGAAAGGCTTGGTATGTGCTCGCGAGGGAACTCGTTTGTGGTCTGGAAAGCGCAAGACGAGATGCGAAACGGTTGGTGAGCGAGAACATAGTCTAGAGGATCAATGTGGATGGTGCTCGTGGCTGGGAAATACGCTTGAGGCTACGCTTAAGGGTAGAGCCAGTCGACTTGGGCAGAGCATCTGCATGCAACACGACAGGAAAGAGCACGGACTGGCGATTGTGGTGCGGAGGGTGGTCCGCACGACAACGGAGGCAAGCACACTTTGCGCCCATTTCCAGCATGTGGCGCTTGGCACAGCCTTCTGAGTGACCGCGCGGGGCGCGTACAGACACAGCCCGATGAGTGCACGACATGCAGGAGAGGACACGTGATGATTCTGCAGGCATTTGCGCAGAACCTTCTCGATTATTTACGCAATCTTCTCCCTGAGCCAAAGCACGCTTCGCCTCCTATCGTCAAGAGTCACGATCGAGTCTGAGTCGTGAGTCATGGGTCACGAGTCCTGAGTGAGTCAGGAGTGACGTCCTCAGCAGTGAAACCGCGTGCGGAGCAGGTGGGCCCACATGCAGCAGTCGTGAGTTCTGACAGGAGCTGCAGTGGTAGGAGGCGCTCCTGCGGTGCTCCTGTGAAGTGATGATGCTCACGACTGGGTTTGATTCAAGATCCCACATTGCACCGCTTCGGCGACGCAAGCAAAGCGAGTCTTGGCATCTAGCACAGCTAAGCATTCAGTCGCCATGGTACTGTATACCATGCAGCCGTAAGTGTAGATTTGCGTAATAGCGAGCTATGTACATGGCCGAAATCGTCGCAAATTCGGGCGCGCAAGGTTGACGGAGTTGCGTGGCTTGCGGATGTGGGCATGGGCGTGGAGTGGAGGGACGGACAAACGCTGCCGCGGTAGCTGTAGCAGCTGCCAAGCTGCTATACATGACGTCTGCCATGTGAATGTCCAACAGCCAAGGCCCCCTGCCACAAGTGACGCGTGGGCTGGAAGAGAAGGACCGAGGCGGGGACATTCTTGATCAAGCTCCGGCGCCAAAAGGCTTAGCTTCGGGAAACCCCATCCACCGCATCAAATGGTGATCGAGCAGCAGCAGCTTCAGCTGTGTGCGGATCTATGAATATAGAAATCGCAGCCAGGGGTTAATGAGGTCGATTCACCGCGGAGATTTAGATTGTCTTTAATTCATACCGGCGTGCTCCTGTGCAGGCGGACATTTTGCATCCATCCCGAGTACGGCACATGCCTGCATCGCCGCGTAAGATGCTCGCACCTCCCCGACCAAGCCTATTTTGCAACCTCACTCACGCAGTCTGAATGAACTCACACTGCCCGTCGCTCCGGTGTTGCGTGCACTGCGACGCTTTGCTCGATCGCTCATTCAAGATTGTTTCCAAGTTTGACCATCCCTTCGTCCCCAAAGCTGCCTTACCGTCAGAGCAGCGCCCACCTTGGCGATGCTGTCCTGCAGACTCCTTCCTGATGCCAAGAATGCACCGCAATTCTCGATTCGATTGGGGATTGAGATGTGGAGCTGTTGAGAGGTGTTTTTGCTCCGGACCTGTGACCCTACAGCAAGGAGTCAGCCGCTATATTGAATTAATGAGGCGTGATAGATGATGACACCTCCTCTCTCGCTGCTGAGTCCGGACACGATGTGCCGACGACATACGTCCACGCCATCGCTTGGTGTCGATCGATGGTGCGTGCGAAGCTGCATTTCCACGCTTGTCTGCTGCGCCGTGGGACGCCGACATCCGCCGCTGATCCCAGCCAAAAAGCGCTGCTGCTGCCATAGTGCGCTCGCTAGATGGCCGGCTTAGCGCGCCCGCAACTTCATGTGGCGGTAACCCTATAGGCACCACTATTGACCGCGGCAACAGTCCTGAGTGAGCAGTCACCTACCAAACGTGTATAAAGACATCCCACTTTTCTCGTCTCTCATCCAATCTCCCTCCATTCTTCACCTCACCCAAAGCATCTCTTTCGAGTCGAGACTCGTCCCGCAAAATCCAAGCAAAGCATCGCGACCCTGTCCCCATCAGCAACATGCGTTTCTCCATCCTTGCTGCTCTTGCCCTCGCTGGCCCTCTCCTTGTCATTGCTGCTCCAGCTGGCGAGGCGCCTGCTGTCGCTCAGGACACTTCCATCTCCTCGACCTGCGACGACGAGTTCTGCGACAGGCGTGGTGAGTAGCAAAAAAATCTCCCGACTCTAAAAACCGAAAGGAATCTCCTCACGCTGAACCCCCCCATTGGCGCCCATCTTCGGATTTCTCTCCTTGCCAGAATTCTTTTACGCCGACAGCTCCTTCAATACCGACACGGTGTGCGACGGCTTCCGCAGCGAATGCTACAAGCGCGCCTCTTCCACCGTCCAGCTCCGAGCCACCTGCCGCGCTCATCCCGATCAAGGCTTTGTGCGCTTCCAATGCGTCGAGCTGCGCAACCGCGGAGGAGCATGGAGCGGTACGTCTGAAGTTGGAAAGGAGATCGGTCTGAAGGAGGTCAGGCAGTCCGACGGACGCTGCGATGAAATCTACCAGGGACTCTGCGTCGACGATCAAGCGCCCACGGGCACGGTCCAGCTGCAAGACCCTTTCTTGTCCCAGCCTGCACCTTAGAGCACGCGCAATGATGCTCTGTGAGAAGACCGCGGCTGGCATTGTGCAAGTCGAGTCAAGCGCTTCCAACAATCGAACCCAACCACAAGATCCTACATTCTTACTACTCTTCGCTTCACAATTGCCTTTCTAATGATATGATGCCCCCTGTCGCCTTCCTTGCTCCAATCTCTCCGTTAGTGCAAATGCGTGAATTTGTTTCTTCCCTTTCTTTGAAAGAGACGCAAACGTCTCGCTTCGACAAGTGCAAGTCGTGTATATACAATTGCGATAAAGCTGAAAGTGGCAAAGAGGTGATGCCTCCTTCTTATCCTCTCGGGCCTCAATCCAGCGGGCTGCGCAACTTGGCCTTGGAGCGCTGCACGTTGGGCGATGAACGGTTGCGGGCTAACCCCCCCTGCCAGCATACACGTTTACAACTCCTCCGAGCTTCTGACTCCTCTAGCCTTCCTGCGTTCCTCTCTCGCATTCGCCGCTCTCAATTTCTCCAGGGCCGCCTCTGCCTGTTTCCCCACCGCGGCATAAGCCGATTCGGCGACTCCTTCAGGCTGCACACTGTGGCCCTGCTGCTTCTTCTCGGACCGCGTCGCGCTGCTGAGGGATTCGTAAAAGCTGGAAGCTTGTTCAGACGCGTCTGATGCGCCAGACACGACGGCTGCGGTAGCTTGAGAGACGATGGACGATGCTGTTCCGACAAGATCCGTCGGCTTCACTTCCCCACCTGCTGCGGAAACGACGCTTTGAGAAGCGGCCGCTGCGTAGGAACCCGCTTCGCCAAAGAGAGACTCGCCAGCGCTGCTAGCCTCCGCAGCGACTGATCCAGCGCTCTTGCTCGCTTCGCTCAAGGCGTCGGCAGCACCGCTCGCGTAGGGCGATGCGACAGAAGCGGCGCTTTCGCTACCTTCGGCGAGAATGGAAGAGGCGCCTTCGACCATAGGGGCAGCAGCGCTCTTGATGGAGTCCACACCGCCCTTGAACAGCTTTCCAACGTGATTAAAGTCCTCGTCCACCTGCTTCGCTTCGACGGCGGGCACCTCGGGCTCGCTGCCAGATCCAGGCACAACACCTGCAACAGCCTCGCGGCCAGCTTTCGCTCCAGCAAAGAGGGCGTCTTTGGCATTTTCCAGGTACTCTGAAGCGGTCTCTGGCGTGGGCTTGTAGCCGGCAGCAGACGCAGCACTTCTGGTGGCAGAGTGCAGGGCAGAAATGGCAGCCTCTTGCGCCTCTCCTGCAGCTCCGCTCGCATCCGCATAGTACTTGAAAGCAGCGCTTCCAGCATCCTCGTAGGCCTTCGAAGCGCCCTCGAAGATCTTTTCGGCATAGTCCGCGGCATTCTCTGGGCTTGGTGTGGCTCCCACGGCAGAAGCAGCACTGCGGCTAGCAGTATGAAGACGCGAGATTGCTTCTTCACCAGCCCGATTCGCAAACTCTTGAGCGTTCGAGTAGGCCTGGGCAGCAGCATCGACAGCGTCGGCGTACGCGGACGAAGCGCCATCGAATACGTGCTCTACATATTCGCCAGGAGTCTCAGGGGTAGGTTTGTAGCCCGCCGCAGAAGCTGCGCTCCGCGTGGCAGAGTGCAGTTGAGAGATGGCTGCGTCTTGTGCGCTGCCCGCTGCCTCGCCTGCGTTGGCCAAGTATTCGCCAGCGACAGCAGCTGCGCCTTCTGCTACTCGAGATGCAGAATCGAAAACTTGCCGATGTACAGGAGTTTGCTCGGGTTCAAAAGCGGCCGAAGCGGCTCTCTCGTAGGCCTCGCCGACACTGGAGGTCGCTGCATTGAAAAGGCTTTCTGCATATCCCGTGGAGCTAGGCTGGAAAGCAGCCGTGGCCTCTTTGGCCTGCGAGGCGAGTTTCTCGTAGGCTTCGCCCACGCTGGAAGTGGCAGCGTTAAACAGACTCTCCGCCAAAGGCTCCCTCTTCGTCGCAAGGTACTCGGCGCTGGCAGATGCGGCCTTCTCCGCCACCACGTCCTGAACATACGCAGCCTGGTCAGTCGCCACTCCAAAGAGGGACTCTGCGTGCTCACGCACGCCCTCAGGAGAAGGTGTGGCCCCAGCAGCAGAAGCGGCGCTCCTCGCAACCGTTCGTACCTGCTCTGCAGCGTCCGCGGCTTGAGAAGCAGCAGCGTCGGCCATCTCTCCAGCTTTGGCGCTGACCCGAGCCAAGATGCCATCATCCTTCGGTGCCAAGCCAAGCCGGGCTCGTGCGGCGGCTGCAGCGCCTAGCATGGCAGCCGCTGCTTGCTCGCTCAGTTGCTGCGCACGTTCAGCCACCGCTTCGGTCGCTTCTCCGACGGACGTCTGCACTCCTTCTCCGCGAAGCTGCGCTTCGGCGGACAAAGCAAAGCGGTCGAGCTCCTTGATGGCTGATGCGTAGAGAGAAGTGGCAGACTTGCGAAGGTCTGCGATGCGAGGAGGGATCTGTGCATATGCTGCTGTCTAAGCTGTCGCCTTACACTGCCTTGACAAGGGATGAACTCACCTGAGGTTCCTTTGCCAAATCGGTGGCATTGATGCCCGATCGAACATTGCGTTCGCCAATCCTCACGGCTTCAAGCTCCTCCTCGTACATCTCAGCACGCACAGAGAGTCCACTTGCCCAGCCTTCCCACTCTTCCTCGGTAGCGGTGAACTTGGCCTTCTCCATCGTCTTGACAAAGAACTTTGTGGCTTCGTCCGAAAATCTCTTGACTTCAGCAACGCTCGCATGGATGCTCGACTCCTCATCCGCTTCCAACTCGCCCGCATAGGCGTTCAGCGAGGCTTCCAAAGCTGCACGGCTGGCTGAGAGCCTGTCTTTTTGCACCTCGGTCTCCGCGCGTGCTTTCTCGACACGCTCCGCGACCCTTTCGATGGTTTGGTCGTTGGAAATCTTGCGGAAGCTGCGCTCCAATTTGGAGAGAGCGGTAGCCACTTCGTCTTCAACGAAGCTCTCTGTCAGAGAAGCGAATCTATCAGGGAGATCCGCAAGCCGGCCATTACGCTTTGAAAAAGATAGAACCGCATGGGTGAGCTCGGCGACAGCACGCTTGCGGTTGAGTCTGATTGCACACTAACCAGTTCAGCCAGCCTCTCAGTGACGAGGCCGTACTCTTTTTCGATGAGCTTCAGCATGCCATCTTCCCACGCCTTGCGAGCGCAGCACACGGTCTTTGGTCAGCAAGCCTGATCGAGCAGCTCCTCCCACCCTGATTCACCACTCACCTCGAGTTCCTTCTTCACAGTCGCTAGCTCTGCGTCCAGCTCTGCATCGAGAGCCGCGGCTTGGATGGGATCTTCGTGAGATGGCTTCTTGCCAGAGATGGCGTCCTTTGCCTTGTTTAGGCGATCCATGATCGTCGGGTCTTCCTGAGCTCTGCGTGCAGAGGCCTGCTGAGCGGCGCCAACGACGCGCTCCTCGATCAGCCGCACGACTGAAAAACCCCCCGCGATGAAAAATTTGCGACTCACTGCAGCTTCGACGGCCTGACTCGCCTTCACTTGACCTTCGCTCCTGGCATCTTTCGCGCGAACAGACGCCTGATCGATAGCTTCTGTTCCGACAGCGTGCGCTTTGCGCTGGAACAGCCTTGCGAGGACCTTTTCAACCTGAGGCCGCACCCACACGCTGTAGCCCCTCCGGATAGCCGGATCCACATGAGTGACGTAGGTTCTGTGCGTCACAGCCAGTGCGGAGAGCAGACGAGGATGCACATCGTTCTGATACGTGCGCAGAGATTGGTGGAAGAGCCGAGCGGAGAGCACTTGCGCTTCGAGGACGTAGGGGTGCACATCTCGCGCGTATATATCTTGATATGGCTTGATGGTGGCCTGGGCCGCTGGAAAGGGCGGCCGAAGGAGATCGTTCATTGTCAGCCATGCCAACTCAAAGACTCTGCAAAGATGTAGAGACCAGCAGGACTCACTGTCTACGTGAGGCTTGACGCTCTTCTTGTAGTGTCCTCTTGCTGTCTTGATGTGAGGCGCAGCAAAGGTGTGGGCTTGCTTGACAAGACGCTTCGTGACCGGCTCCCCATGAGCCTTCCAGAGCAGATGACCCCTCTTGTTGGCAGCCTTTACATGCGGGCTGCTAAACCTGACCGCGCTTCTGTAGTAAGGAGCGACGGGCTCGACGTACGGAGAGATCCAAGGCTCAACGTCTTTCCATGCCGCTTGGTAGTGCGGCTCCAAGGCTGCTTTGCTTTGTGCCAATGTTCGACAGACTTGGGAATTGTCTCGAGGATTGAATTTGAATGTGAAGGGTTGCTTTGAGCAAGACCACAAAGCCGCAAAGAGCGTATAGAATAGCGCCAATCGCACACCAAAGCTGGTCAAGGCGCCAAGGAAGGTGCCCTGAGAGCGGGGAAAAAGCGGGAGATGTCAGCGTTTTGAATGCGACCAGCTTTGCACGTGTTCCATTGCTGGGTACGAACCTTTTTGACAGCTCGTCTGGACTTGACAGACCTCAACTCATCGTCAAACTTGATCGGCGGCTTCTCATCAAAGGTGGACGTCGCTATCTGTGCCTGAGCTCCTCTGCGCGCTGCGCTGGCATTCTTTTTGGGTGGCATGTCGGGCCAACGTGGAGAGGGGGGGGGGGGGGGGTATGCGGAAGGGGTGGTCAAATCTCGCGCTGTCCGGTGCGTAAAGGTGGTAGTGGTGAGTAGCAAGGCTGATCAGTCGTGAGTGTGAGTTGTGTGAGTGAGCATATATGCAAGGCAGGATGAGCGGGATGACGCGTGCTGGCGTTCCTCAAATAGCACACACCTTCGTGCTTGCTGGATTTTGGTTCCGCATTTGAGTATGAATGCTCTCTCGCCGACGATCGATCGGTGGATTCATCGAAAGCAGACAACATTCACATTCAAATTCACGATTCAAGATTCACAATCGTCATCAACGCCCATGCACGACATTCAAGATTCAAATTCTCGTGACACGCATGATGGAACGCACGCCTCACGCAGACGAACTAATTATCATCACGATCCGTCGACTGCTGCTGGCTGCATGGCTGGCTGCTGACGTTCGCTGTGGTTGCATGGCTCGACCGCATGCAAGCCATGCCTGAGCCATAAAGGTAATCACTTGAATGTACCGGTACCGGTACAGCTTTTTGCTGGGACAGCCGCGTCCTACCTCGCGGCGTACGGCGCTGTACTGCTGCTGGGGCTATCATCTGTCATCAAGGGACGTGCGTGATGTGACGTCAAGCTGCGCGTGGTCCCTTGGCCCGAGCATCAGCAGCAACGCGCGATCGCCCCGCCAGCGAATCTTGAGTCGTGAGTCTGCTGATGAGTCTGAGTCATGAGTCGAGTTGAGAGTCAAAGCCACGAGTCACGGGTCAGTCAATTATAAGGATCGAATCAAGAGTCAAGAGTCACGAGTCGGATGAGCGTGCTCATCACGTGGACCGTTCATGGTGGGACCGCGCAGGGCCGCCGCTCCACAAGCTATGTGCATGCTGACGGTTCGCGAGTCAAGTGTGTTGTGAATCAGCTCGAGCAGTCACGAGTCCCGAGCAGGAGAGGGGGTGAGCTCAAAAGTCAATCGAATCAGTGATCTGAAGCGCGATGCCGCACCACCACAATCACGATTTGAGCACAACTGCAGATCGCAAATTGTTCGGTTGCAAGCGCAGATTTTGCACAAGGGATATTCAGCTCGAGCAATCCACAGATCAAGCATGTTCACAGGCATCGGTGCGTGTCAGGCGGTCAAAGCCGCGTTCGGAGGGGAAGCAACGCAGACGAATCGGTTGACTTGAACCTCTCACTCACCCCCCCCACTCCATTCCGACTCGGGCCGCTCGGTGATGCAGTCGAGCTGCTCGCCACAATAGTGGTGGTCAAGGAAAAGGATGACGGGCAGGGTGGAGGCGGGGGGTACAGTCTCATCATTGGAGGTTGCGCAGATATCCTGGACGACTGTCATATCGGCGATAGCATAGCCGTGAATGGTGAGCGGCTCTTGTTTGAGCATCGCGATTGCCGCACTTTTTGCTGAATTGCAGCTTGCGCTTGCGCGCCACGATCTGCCATTGGGTGCTCGCGATGTGAACAGGCACATGCTTGACAGTTACCGCCTTTGACGCGGAAAAGGCCTCGCCCGAAGCGCAGGATGGCGCAGGTGCCCATCAGAAAGGCTGGTTCAAGATTGGCGTGGCGCCCGAAACGCTCAAAAAGACAAACTTGGGAAGTTTGAAAGTAGGAGACAGGGTGAATTGCGAAAGGGCGATGGGTGCAAAGACGAGGTTTGGTGGACATTTCGTTCAGGTACGTAGGAGCGCAGGATTTTGGTCCGCTTGGAAATGCTCACCTGCTCCTCGTCTTTTTTTTTTTTGACCCCCCAGGGTCATGTCGATACCACCGCGATGCTTGTCAAAGTCACACCCACAGGCAATGCGCTCACTCTGGTTCTACGTCTCAACAATTCTCCCGAGCTGCTGCCTCTTCCTTCCTCTCTTTCCCCCTACCTCATTCCCAAGGGCTACATCACGCTAGACGGAGCATCTCTCACGCTGATCGACGTCAGTCCAGCCGAAGGCGGACCTTTGAACTCTACGGCCGGTCAGCCGGAATCGGAAGGCGGTGCTAGACCAGTTGGAGACGTGAAGGAGCATGTGGAATTCAGCGTCATGCTCATCGCTCACACTCAGGATGCCATCGGATTGAGCAAGAAAAAGCCGGGTGAGACGGTGAATGTGGAACTGGATGTGAGTTTCAAAGCTGGGCATAGCTGCAAAGGAGCCGGCTACCACGGAAACTGATCGGGTGTGGATGACTCCTTGCACTACAGATGGTCGGCAAGTACGTCTACAGGGCAGTGGTGGGAGCAGCGGGGTCGGTCGGAGCGTCCACATCAGACCTTGCGCCTACTTCAGAAGGCGGCAAGGCCTTTGGTACGAGCGGTGTGGATGCTGGTGCGGCCGCGCTCAGTCAGACGCAAACCGCGGGCAGAACGGCCTCTGATGCTCTTGCGGCTTTCATCGAGAGAACTGTCCGGAGGGTACTGTCAGAGCAGAGCAGTCCTTCCAGATAGAACATCGAAAGCGCAATACGTGGCATGGCCAATTTCCTAAATCGCTTACATGATTCGTCTTGGCATGACGAGAGGGGCTACTGTTGCTCCAAGGGAGGGAAAAAGCATGGGAATTGGGCTCGCAGCAGTGACTCGGTAGTGCGCTTTACAGATTGTGAACCAGCTCCTCATGAGGCTGCAATGACGGCAAAATGGACGCTGGGCCCCTTTTCGTTGTACTGTTGCTTCGTGACGTACGATTTGCCGTGCGGGTCGCTGAACACGAGCTTGCAGCATCAAAAGCAGGGTGCATCATAGATGCGATCAGTCAGTGTCGCACTTTTGCTCGCAGCGCATACTTGTATGGCTACAGAGGTCTGCTCGTTCACACCGCTTCGACTCACCTTGCCATATATGGTAGCGCCCAAAAAGGGAGCCAGATCCGTCCTACCTTTGAACTCTGCAAAATAGTCTGGCACTTGCAGAGCTCTGACGTTGGTGGGCTGTCCCGTCATTCTGCTATCGCTCAAGCCCATGGTAGAAGGAGCAAGACCCGGAGTTCCTCCATCACCTCCGACTGCCCCCCCAAGCATGAAGGAAGCCGAAGGTCCTCCGTTTGGTCCGCCAGCTGCAGAGGCCGCTGCCAAAGCTGCTGCCGAAGCGACGTATTTCGAGCTGGCTTGAATGACTGACAAGGACAGCTTTTTCAGTCCCTGAACCGGTGCTCCCGTAATGACGAGCGATTCCCACAACGTAGACCGACGCTCATCTTCCGGTATGGAGTTTATGACCGAATGAATGACCTCTGTAAGACCTCGAAGACCTAGCATGTATTCTTGGTCCAAACCCAAGGTGGCATCCAGCGCGTCCACATTGATCCTCTCCTCCGCGAGACCTCCCACGCCAAATGGTCTGTCGCCTGACGCCTGAAATGTGCCGGACTTGATACCCCTCACATTGGCCAGCAACGAGGGCTCGTATAGAGCTTGAATGAAGTTGCGCAATGGTTGAGGAGCTATCTTCAAAGTCTTGCCCCTAAATTTGGTGGTCACGGCCTCCGGGTCCTCCGTCGCACCAGCTTGGCCTGCATCTTCCTCTTCCGCCTGCACAGACCTGGCATCTTTCTCCTTCGGAGCTTGGTCAGTCTCGCCCTCTTCAACTAGAGCAGCTTTGTTCCTCTTTTCCTGCTCCTCCATAGCGGCTTTTTCTCGCCCAGCGATGAGAGCAGCAGCAATGTCGAACTCCTCCTCCTCTTCGCCTTCACCGGCGGCGGCAGCGGTCGCACCTTTTTTGCCTGCAGCGCCATTATCCCCCTCTTCAAGCTTGGCTTTGCCTTCTTCGATCAATTGCTGGGCCAAGGCGACAAATGAGCGCTGCAGAGCCTCTTCAGCCAAGCTAGAATCTTTGGACGAGGAAGCCGAAGCTGCTGCTTGCTGAGTGTCTTTTGATGCGGCCGCTGCAGATTTGGCATCCAGCTGGATGAGCGCGTCCGTCAAGGAGTTGTCCCTCCTCAGAAGATGTGCCAAGTACAGCGTCAGGTGTTTCATGCCTATCCTACATGTCTGAACGTTACCTGGAAGCACCATACAGTCAATGACGGGAGCGACATTGATGCTCTCCCATCCCACGTCCACCACCAAGCCGCCCAGTGATCCCACGGCATACGCGGACAGCAGCGGCTGCTCCAATATAGCCAAGGAGGGCGCATTGAAGAGCTCAAAGAAGATGCGGGTGATGTCAGAGTATGTCGAGCGCGATATGGGCGCTGGAAGAGCCAGCAGAATTGGCGAGTCGTTCAGACTAGGTCTGAGCGGCATCATGCGGAATAAGAGGTGGCGCCTGTTCCAAAGTGCGTGCGGTCACTACGACATGGCCATGAGCAATTCAAAGACCATGGCGCTCTCACTCACCAGAGCGCAATGCAAGCTTGAAAATCGTAGATCACACCTTGCTTCATGGGCCAGATCACTCGCATCTCCTCGCCATTGCCCAGCCTGCCATCCAGTTCCTCTCCCACAACATAATCGTCCTCTAGGGGTACTTCAGTCTCCAGCGCTGCAAGGTTTGTTGGTTCCTGTTCTCGCGACTGCGATACCAGACGCTGAGATCTGAGCGCTCTCCAGTCCGAGGGAAGTCCGACGCGCGAGGATAGCTCGTAGGCAGGTCGACGAAGGAGGTCGGAGTGTATGCCGTAGCCCGCTCGAATAGTGTGAGAGCCGTGCACGATCAGCACCGCTTTGCTCTCCCGCGACATGCTGACTGAGCGACGGGAATGTCGGCAAAAGGGAGATTGCGCGAGTGTGAGAAGAGGAGGGAGAGAGGCTGAAGGAGGAGCAGCTGGTGCGAGACAATGATGAGAAGACTCGTGATTGATACATTCGTGATTGTCGACGCTCGGCTCGTCGTGCCTGCTGCTGGTCTAAATAATCGCGTACGCGACGCGACGAGTGCGGTGAATCTCCGCGGACCGTCTACGCTTCATGGCACGCCACACGTGACTTGAAACCGCGGTCGGTCCCGCGCCGCTTTGTTCTTGATCTCCATCCGCTCGTCGCACTTGCTGATGTCTCGACAGGCGCAAGAATCTACATTCAGTGTCGCTTGCTGCCCATGGCCTCTCTTCCAAAGCAAATTGCTGGGCAGCTCTAACCCACAAGGTGCTGACATTAATGCCATGGAAATTGCCAGGGGCATTCTGCTACAAATAAGCTTGGTGTCATCTTCACAAGCCTTACACACAAAGTTGGCAATGTACTTGCAGGTCCCACTGGTGCTTTGCCAGGTAGTGCACCATGTCAACACCCGTCAAGCATGGCGCCCCCTCCACAGCGAAGTGATCAAGCATGGCGTCCCCTACCACAGCAAGGTGATTGAGCACCGCTACACAAAGGTGACTTGCAATCATGAAGAGCCTTGCAGGCCTAGCCCTCCCTGCTTTATGCTTGCTGCCTTTAGCCGACGCCAAGGTGTTGAAAAAGGGAGTGTTGCGGAGAGCAGAGTTGCCTCCTCTTGCGCAGTAAGACCTTTGCTGGGCGTATGCTGCGGCAGATTCAGGGCTGTACCCTTTGGCCTTGGTCTTGGCCACGCTCGAGGAGTACCCTCCTGCGCTCTGGGCAATCAACACCCCTTCAGGCAGTGGCAGATGCCACTTGGCAGCAGCTGCTGCATCAAGAGATGCAGGGCAAGAGAGGCTTGGGTTCATCTTCCACTGAAGAGATTGCTCCTTGCTGCCTGGCTTCCTGACGGTGAGGATGTTCTGCCTCTTGATCTCGCCAGAAGTCCAAGGCAGCGTGGGTCTCGTGCGCGTCGCATCAATCCCTACATTCTCTCAAGACAGTGGGCTTGTTGTCATTGTTGCTGTGCAAGGGCGCTTCCTGCCCGCTGCTGAAACGCTTGTGCGCACTCGCTTCTTGATGCTTTCCTCTGCAAGTCCTTTGTTGCAATGCAACAAACTTGGCTTTGGCGCGGGACAAGCACCGGTGTGCGTGCAAAATCCGGACGTCCTCAGCTCCTCGCACTTGTAGGGTGCAGAGTTTGTGGTTTCAGCGAGCGCAAGGCGACGTGCTGCTGAGCCTGACGTTGCGCGTTGATGGATGCTGTTTTCATGATAGTCGTCATTGTTGTCAATGTTGTCGTCATCATCGTCGTCATCATCATTAGGGCCACCAGCGCCGCCGTGAAAGTCGTGAAGTGAGTCGTCATCATCTTTGTGAGCGTGTTTGTTATCGTCATCATCATCGTCTTCATGAAAATTGTTAAAGTTGTCACGGCCGTTGGTGTCACCATTGGCGTCATCGTTATCATCAAGATCGTCAAAATCATCAAAGCCGTCCAGATCATCATCGTAGGCACCGCCAAAGCCGTCCAGATTGTCATCGTCATTGTCGTTGTTGTCACTCCAAAAGTCATTGAGATCGACATTACTGTCATTGTCGTCATCATCATTGTCATCAGGAAGCTGTTCCAGGGGCATGAAGAAACGACGTGTCCGCAAAAGCTTCTTGAGACAAGCTTGGGTCAACACGAGCAGGTTGGCAACTTGGCTGGCATGAATGAGCACGTCTAGCTCTAACAGCTCTAGTCCTTGCTCTGCTGCTCGAAAGATTGCCATCGATAAATAGATTAGGCGGGCAAAGTCCTTGGCGTACAGCAGGCAGTACTTGAGTGCCCCCTCATCCAGTGCAATGACAAAGACAAAGGTCGCCAGGCTATCCCCGCGGCCATTGGTGGTACCACTGATCTGCAGCGTAAAGTCATGGATGCTGCCGCAGCTGTCAATCCAATTGCTGGGCTTTAGCCACTTGAGCTGCCGCCGATACTTCTTGTTGATGCTGTGACTTTTGTTCATGACCACCAGCAGCGCTGTGATTGGCAGCTTGCCCAAGAGAACTCTCGTCAAGACGTCTGCTCCGGTGACTGTGGCAATATAGTGCAGGATCTGATTTGCACAGTCAAGCAGCAAGAACTTGACTGGGTGAGACGTGAGTCTAATCACGGTGGCACCAGTCTGATAGCAAAATTGTTGCGTCAGCCAGGGCTGTGACAGCATTAATTCACACCTGTACTCACCCGCAAAACAACGCGCAAGCACAAAACAAAGTAGAACAGCAGGTGCTCGTGACAACTCCAGGGAAAGAGATCCACCACATGTCGGCGCACAAATGCTTGCACTTTGCGACGACGCCCTACACCATCGTACACTTCTCCATTGAAGGGGTAGTCCACCAAGGTGAGCATCCTCTGGTAGAGAGCAGGACCCTGGCCACACCCCAGACCGTGCAGACCATAGTCATCTGCGGCATTGTAAAGATCTTCTGCCATATTGTCCTTCAGCAGCACTAATGAGCGGGGACCGTTAGCAGCTGACACTCGAGCTCTCGAGGCCATGTCAATGACTCGCTGCACTGTTTCTGGACATGGTGCCCTCATGTTGGGTGCCATGTGCCTTAGGGCAGCAAGGTTGTTGCAGATCAGAGTGTCAATGCGCACATCAACCAGGTCTAGGGTTGGCCTGCCATTCTCAACTCCTGCTGCTTCCAGTAGAGCTATGACAGCGTCTCTGTATGGATCAGAGGGATTGAAACAACAATGCAGCCCGCCACGTACTGTGTTCAGGGCCAGAGGACCTGCAAGAGCAATAAGGAAACGCTCCACGTCTTGCTCTCCGTCATTGCGTCTCCATTCCATGACCGTAGCTGAAGGAGCTGGGTCGATGATAGACCACACCGACCAGTCCTCTGCAACCCATTGTTCCCTGTGTATAACAACAAAGCAATAAGCAAGCGCCACCACAACCGCGCCACCCCAATACGCATACACGCACCTTCTTGATCCAACACTGCCATCAGCCTCAGCATCCTCTTGCACTTGCAACTGGGGTCCGTTGGGCACACTGCAGTGACAGCATCCAGCGTATGTTGCATACATACCCCTGTTGCTCTCTTCCAGGCATTTGCTGACAATCAAGCACCATGGAAGATCTCCAGCCTTGCTGGTTGACTGAGCGTGAGCAGTGACTCTCTTTTGAGAGGGGCCAGGTATCACAGCAAATGTAATGAGAGCCCTGCCCATTCAGAGGAAAAGATGGCAGGGAGTCAAGGTCCACTGCAAGGGGGTCGCATGCAAAAGCACACAAATCTGGGCAAAGGGCAAGCAAGTCCTCCCTCCTCTGTGTACTGTGCTCAAGGTGGGCAAGACAATTTGTGCAATCCTGCTTCTACGGCTCACCTAGCTTTCCTTTCAGCTTGGCATGTCCCTCTGCCAACACGCGTCTTGTTTGCTGCCCAAATGACCTCCAAGTGCCTCATTTGAGTCTTTGCTTTGCCCTTTGCTAGACGATATCTCTCTCAACAGGTCTGGTATGCTTGGTGAAAGGTGTTCTTTGTGCATTGCGGTAGAATGAACGGCTGTTGAGCTGCCCTCCCCCTTTGTCCTTGCCATCCACGCCCACATTTGCTAGTGTCATGTCCCTTCTTTGCAATGCTGTGGAGCTAGATTTAAGATTGTGAGAATTGCGCTGATAGAGATGACAAAGAAAGAGTGTCAAAGAGAAGGGGTGGTTCTGGGCGGTTTGCGGGATTGCTTGAAGTACCATTTCAGAAAATACGAAGCCAAGAAGTTGAGGACTGACAAAAAGAGGGTCAAGTCCGTGAGGTGACAGTTGAGGATGGAAGGATCTAGATAGCCGCGGACAAGCAGTGGCAAATAGTTCAACAAGATATGATGCAAATGGTTGTGTCACTCACCTTTGTAATTGGTCAAGGGCCATCACCATCATGTTGACAACAAGGAGGAAGGCCATATGCCTAGCACTTCATCTCCATAGTGCCTCCTTGCAAACTTGTAGGTGTTTCCTACCTCCAAGCTTGTTTCTGGCGCACTTCCGCTCTCCAACGTACTCTCTCCCTGCTTGTTCCCTTGCAACTCCTCACCCGTCTCCGTCGTCTCCACGGTCTCTGCCGCCTCTACCTCCACCAAGCTCTTGGTGGCCGCTTCCACCAATCCCTCCGCCTCAGCTTCCTCCGAGTCCTGCTCGCTCCCTTGCAACTCCTCTCCTGTCTCTGTTGTCTCCGTCTCCCTTCCGTCTGTCCCGCCTCTGTCTCTGCTGTCTCTGCCTCTTCGTCCACCAAGCTCTCTGCCGCCTTCGGTAGGCCCAAGTCTGCGGTCTCTTTGGTTGCTTCCAAAATCTATGTCAGACAAGCATTGATGTGAGCATTCTGGCAAGGGACTTGATACCAAGAGGATGCAAGGCTGAGGCAGATTACTGCGCACGCACTCGTGCATGGATGTCCAAGCATCACATCCACGCTTTTGCAATGTATGTGGGAGGGTTGCGACAACGTTGACCAGACAACGAGACAAAGTGCTACTCACGGTCTTCGTGAAACAAGCGCAGACCTTCAGCTCAGCTGGAGGCGCAAGTTGAGCATGTAGACTCGTAATCTGCTGACAGAGCTTCTCAAGCTTGTCGTCTGGGTCCTTCGCCGAGAGGGCGAATGAATGCGGAAATGAGAGGAGCGCTGATCTCCACACAGTGAGCAACGTGGGCGCTCGCGCTAGAGATCGTCTTCTCCGCAAGAGGGCCAAGGAAATCGCGAACGGCCAAAAGACGTGGCGCACTGATCTCCACACAGTGGGCAAATTGAGCGCTTGCGCAAGAGATCGTCTTCTCCACCAGAGGGCCAAGGTGCAGATGTCGACTCATTCCTGGCTCTTTACCCACTCGGAAGACTGCGCGCGGATGGGACGCAGCACTTTTGAATGCACGCCTTTGAGCGTGCTTACCGAAAACGGATTCATGTTGATACACTACCAGAGAAGGTTCGCAGCACGACCACGTTGCTACGTTGCCAGCTCAAGTGCATGCATTGGCATGGGCTGTGCAAAATGGCCGCGATCATCTACACACGCAGACGACGCGCTCTGTACCATCGTGGCGCTCTTTGCGATTGATGCGAAAACCTCACATCCCAGCGTCTTCGCTCTCCCTTACCGGCCCACGTAAAAAGCCAGGCATTGCTCGCATCACCTCGCGCTTTTGCGTTTAGACACAGCGGTGCCTTCGGCAGCTGCATTGCCGCGCTTGTTGCCTCTAGGCGTGCCAGGCGCCTGAGACTTCCTCTCGCCGCCTTCTGCAGATGGTCCTCCCTCCGTCGACGCCGCCGCATCAGCATCAGCAGAAGCAGCAGCAGCACTCGCTATGCTCCTTTCCCTCTCTCGCTGTTTGGCCTTGACGCCTGCGATGATCTGATTGGCCTCCCAAGCCACGTACTTGTCCCTATCCCCTTTCCATGCTTTCTCTTTGGTCGACCCGCTCCCAGACGCGCCCGTCCTGTCCGAGGTTGAAGCCGACGTGGGTCCACTACCGCCAGGCCTATCCTCGACGGATAAGGAAGCGCCCAACGGGTCCACGGCTCGTAGAGCTTCGAGCGAAGAGATGAGCTCCGAAGTGTCCGTCAACATCTTTCGCGTGGCCTGAGGCAAAGTCGTAGGGATGATGGGCGCAGACGTGAAAGAGGTTGGATTTTGGCTGAGGATCGCGCTGAACGTTGACAGCACGGACTCTGCTCGATGTAGCTTGCGCTTCGCTGCTTCGGTAGCCAAAACCAGCGAGTGCTTGACTGCTCTAGCCTGCAAGACGTGTACGCGGTAGAAGAGGTGCGAGGGACGTGATTTGCGCCGTTCAGTCAAAGGGCGCGCTGCAACGCAAGCGGAACGACTCACAGCGGTGATTTTCCTCCTCAGCAATCTCTCCTGCTCTGCCAGCTGTTCGCTCTCCTGTCGAGCGGATGTCGCAACATCGCCAATCTGCTTTTCGTTGCGCTTGGAAGAGCTGCTTTTCCTTCTGGCTTTGGAGGATTGGTGGGCACTCGCATCGACATTGTCTCCACCCCTGCTAGCTGCTGGGCGCAGATCCAGACCTCGATGGTGGGGAAGGGTGATGAGGGCTGCTTGACGCGGGGTGATGCCGAACACGTGCCTGAGACAGTATAGCTCCAGCGTGTCAAAGGTGGCATCGAGGGCATTCTCGAGCAACGTCAAGAGCGCATGAACTCCCTGCGTGTACGCGCGCGATGTGGAGAGGAGGGATGAGCAAGACCGAAGCTGAGCGTTGCCATTCGAGGCAGTGCAGTGCAGTGCAGCGGAGGCAACTCACCTGTTCAGCCTGCCTATCGCCATCCTCTTGACCCTTTAAGCAATCCTTGACGTGATTTTCGAACTGCTCTGCGATAAAGTACAAGTGCTCGTTGGAAGTGTAGACGAGATCATCGATGAAGGTCTTTGGATTGAAGCCCAGATGTTCGGTGAGGAGCTGAATGTGAGCATCTGTGCTTGGCACGTCTGGCGATGCGATGACTGCTGAAGAGGAGGAGGAGGAGGATGCTGCTGCGGCGGCGGCGGATGAGGACATTGTGAGCGGATGGTAGCGCGTTTGTGTTGGCTATGGGATGCTGGCCTGCGCGCGCGGTGATGTTGATGGTGATGGTGTTGAGGATGAGCGCGCAAGAAGCAACACTTGAGCGCGCATGAGCAGCGCGCGATCGAGCCTAATCAACACGCCCGCCGGCCCACGCACAGTCAGTCAGAGGCGAGCGCGACCCATGCACGCGCGGATGCATGCACGCACGCGGATCTCCACCTCTCTACACGCGGCCGGCGCGTCACGCGTCGCGCTTCTGTAAGCTGCAGCACTCACGATTGCCGTGCAGCACATGCACGATGCGCGGTGAGAAGCGCGAATCACTGAATCGTGAAGATCAATTGAAGTCACGAGCGGGTTGGTCAGCGACAGCGACAATGCTCACTCATCACTCATCTCGCCTTCTTCCTCTCCCTCTCTCCATCAGCTTGGCCTTGCGCTTGCCCCTTTCCTTCCTTCGTCATCCACTCATCGCGCACACAACTCTTTCTCTACGCATACACCGACACACACCACTGCCGTGCACCCCCGCACCCCCCTCCCTCCAAGCAGCAGCCGTCGCCCGCACAAGATGCTGTACGTGGACAAGCACAGACCCAAACAGCTCTCCGAGCTGCACTACCACGACACGCTTACTCGCAGGCTCATCTCCTTGGTGCGTGGGCCGCGGCCGCTCAGCATTCCATCCAACTCCGCTCACCTGCCGCTGCTCCTGGATGACAGGCATCGCACGAGGATTTCCCCCACATGCTCTTCTTTGGTCCGAGCGGGGCAGGCAAAAAGACGAGGATCATGTGCCTGTTGAGGGAATTGTATGGTCCAGCAACCCAAAAGGTGACAGGGCCTGCCTGCTCTCCGTGCTCTCACGCTGCACCACATCAACTGACGATTGCCTGCATCCCACCCGCGCCAGCTCAAAATCGACCAAAGGGTATTCTTGAATCCGAGCAAGAGGAAGATCGACGTCAATGTCGTCAGCTCAAATTATCACATCGAGCTCACTCCAAGGTGGGCATTTGTGTGATGGCATCCATCTCACGCTCGGGCAGCTCAGCTAAGCTCGACTCGACCGCATCGCTCCATGCTCACCCTCACACAGCGATGCTGGAGGCTACGATAGGCTAGTCATCCAAGACATTCTCAAGGAAATCGCTCAGACGCAGCAAGTCGACACCAATGCTCGTCATCGCTTCAAAGGTGGGTAGCCGCTCGCGCCACGTGCGCATGCCAACATCTCCACCCCGCACTCATGCCAGGCTCGCTCTCTCATCTTTTGCAGTGGTCATCATCAACGAGGCTGACTCGCTATCACGAGATGCTCAGTCGGCGCTTAGACGAACGATGGAAAAGTACATGGGCAACTTGAGGTTGATCCTCTGCTCCACCAGCACAAGTCGCATCATTGCTCCCATTCGGAGCAGGTGTCTGCTCATGCGCGTCGGCGCCCCATCTCAGACAGAAGTGAGCGAAACACACTGTCGCACATGCTCTGCCTTGCTGCTGCTCTGCTAACATTCTGCATGTCACCATGCTCGCCCTCCGGACACGCGGACGCAGATGACTGCTGTTCTGCAGCACGTAGCCAAGAGGGAGTCGTTCAGGTTACCAGACTCGACCTGCGAGCAAATCTTCGCCGACAGCGGGGGAAACGTTCGGAAAGCCATTCTTGTCTTAGAAGCCCTTCGCATGCAGTCGCCCGACTTTAGCGGTTCATTAAGCATAGCCAAACCGGATTGGGAGACGTACGCGATCGCGACTGCGGATGCTATCCTATCGGAGCAATCCCCGCAGAGGTTGTTGGACGTTCGGGGCAAACTCTACGAACTGCTGGTTCATGCCATTCCACCTAGACTCATCATCAAGACCATCACGGACAGATTGGTCAGGCGGGTGGACGAGAGCTTGCGGCCTTTGATCGTGGATAAGGCTGCCTTCTATGTGAGTGGCGAAACGTGCTCGCGTCCTCGACGCATTGGAGTACTCGGAACGCACTTTGACACATCGCTGGCATGAGTCGATGCAGGAAATTCGTGCGAGGCAGGGCACAAAGGCAATGTGAGTAGCTGGTAGCACAGCCCCGGCAGAGGATGGCGGCTGACGTTTATTCGTCGTGGACACCCCAGCTTCCATCTAGAAGCGTTCGTAGCTTCCGTCATGTCGATCATCAAGGCCGATCTGATGGGCATGTCCTTTGACGACTAGGACGGTCAGTCCGTACTCAATGGCATGCTGTCTACCAAAAACGCAGAATTAGTCTGGCATGCATCAGCGATCACATCCTCGAGACTGGTGACGACGATCAAATGAAGATGTAAAATAAATGGCATTCGGCTATGCAGCTTCTTGGGTCACTTCCACTTCGCTTCAGGGCAGGCTCGAGCTTGGTCACGGAGCTCGACGAGACCTGATCGCTGTGACGTGAGTGGACAGAAGCCTTCCCTACACCGCATGCTTGCCTCTGTGGGAGCTGGCCTGCTTCAACGTTGGCACCTCTACAGTCTCGAGCACTAGAAAGCGGCGAGAGGGTCCTTGGAAGCCGGATAAACGTAACCGACCTTGGTCTTCTTCGGCTTACGAGTCGCCTTTCGGGTCTGACCGTGAGGCGCCTTCGTGGGATTCTTCTGGACGTGCGCCTGGCTGTTGCCTCGCTGCTTTTTGGGCTGAGGAACTGGACTGGGCATCGGCTCGCGCCTGCCGAGGCTGCCCGGTCGAGTGACAATCGTATCATGGTGATCCATCTCCTCGGGATCACGCACCTCAAACGATTGGGTGGGCTCAAGATCACGCTTACCGACGTGCTGGGGGTGATCAGACCAGCGAAGCTTCTTCTTCCCATCTCCTTGGCGCGCTTCGAGAGACTCGATCGGCGTAGCGTCTCGCTGAGCAAGGTGGTCCTGGTGAGGCGCTTGCGTCCCCTCGGCGGTGTGGACGTCTTGATCCGCGTGGGGCGTGCTCGCATTCTCAAAGCGCGCCTCGAGAGTCTCGTTGGACATTGCGTCGCTCCTGCCGTTGAAGATCGGACCGCCAAAGCCTCCGCGCTGATTCCAAACAGGCTCTTGACGAGCTTCAAGGGGCTCAGTGGATGGCGAGAGCTGCCTTTTGCCGTTGAAGATGGGACCCAGATTGCCAATGTGGCCTACCCCTGGTGGCGTTTTGCGCGCATCCAGAGCGTCGATCGCTGGCGAGACATCTCTTTTGCCGTTCATCATCGCGAGGGCGGCGTAATCGCTGCCCTCTTGAACGAGGCTTCGAGCCAGCTGCACTTCGTCAGCGACGTGGTCCATGCCAGGCAGGTGCGCACTAGCGCTGTTGCGAGCTCGAAGGAAGGATTGCTCTCCTTCGCGCGTCGAGGTGCCTCTTGCTCTCAAGTGGGCATTGTCGACAGAGCGACCCTTGATCAGGTGGTCAGCTAGCGTAGCGGTGGGCAAGGCTCGCACGGCCACAGCGGCCAGCACCATGGCGGAGAGGAGAGCGGCGTTCTTCATGTTGGGAAGGGGCCAAGTAGGCTAAAGATTAGTCGACGAAGGGTGCCTGTTAAAAAGTTGAGCTGCTAGTAGAGAGAGAGACGTCAAGCTTGTCAGGGGTGCGGTGGAGAGAGACAGTCTCTCCAGACCGACGATGTTGACTCACAATATGCGTCAAGCGCCGGGCTACAGACGATGACCACGAAAAGCACTGCTGTGTGGACTGCGATGAGTGCGTCAGAGGCCAGCTCGACGATGGTATGGTAGGCTCGAGTGATTATAGAGTCGGTTTACTTGAGCGCTTGCGCTTGGAAGGAGTATCACTCGCGCCGTCGACGGAGAGCTCCGCCCCTTTTATCCCTTTCGCAGTGACTATGGAACCTGGTACATGCGCGGTGGTGCACTGGCGCAAGGTAAGTGCGCAGATACGCAGCAGCCTAATTATCATGATTGGCGCTGAGGAGCGGTGCTTGATTGCGGGCGCTGCGAGGGCGTGAGTGCATTTCGCCACTCTCCTCAACGGAATCACAGCTAAAGGATTTGACGCCGACGGCGTTGACTGTGAGGAGACCCACACTGAAAAGTCGTAGTGGGAGGCGCAGCATGGAAGGGCCAGAGTCCGCCCGCCTTTTTTGCCTGCTGCGACGCGCGTAGACTCATGGTACCGATGGTCGGCAAATGAATCGATCAAGGGGGCGCATTCACCCGCCCACGGCCGGGTCGTGATCGTACACACTCAAGAGGTTCACAGATTGTGATTGCGGTGCCTGTACACGGGAGGTAGCCAAATGGGGGAACAGGCAACGATGTGGCGATTTTAGAGACTCGAATCAGAGTCATTGCGCCTCTTGCGCGCGGGATGTTAGTGCCACTCGGGCGTTGTATCGTGCCGCTTGCCACCCTCAAGCCGCACCTCTCACAGCATCGACGATCGGCGAAGCGCCAATTTTGGAGTCAGCAAGGACAACTATAGTGTCGTCAAGTCGGGAAGCTATCGGGAACAACGCCAGCAGTTGCTGTTCTCGTTTGAATACCAACCGCTCACTTTATGCGCGCCTTGCTCGCCTATCACTTGGCGAACAAGGCAGGGCGCTAAAGCACAGTCACCGGCTTGTTGGCAAAATGATTACCGACCCGGGCCTCGAACGACGACACGGACGAAGGAATGATGAAGGTCGAATATCTACGTCGATACACACGCTGGAGCCTCGTCACCGGAGCATTGTCAGCAGACATATGCCTAGACTACCAATCATAACGGCCAACGAGTCGCAAATCTTGAGACAGGCCTATCATTGCCGTCAATTATGTCAAGAAAAGTCAACGTGCGCTGATCGTATTGCGTGAACGCCGAGCGCGATTAGTGGAAGATACAATTAGTAAGGAGAGTCGTTCTGGTGCTCATCAGGCATTGCGTGCGCATCGCGACCGATGCGCACGTCAGCGTTCTGACGGTGGTCTTGCAAATGTCAATGGCTCGGACCGGACGCGAGCGCCATTAACCGGTAGCAAGCTTCTTGAGGCTGGCCTCGCTTCCGTTGAAGACATCCTGGTCGCCGGGGAATGTGCCAGAGTCTGCCCATTGCCAGATAGTCTGGTAAGGCCAGCCGCCAGGAATGGTACCGGGAGAGCTGGCGCCGTAGCGAGCGAGCACGAGGGGGCTGTTTGCGCTGAAAGCCTTGGAGTTGCCAGTGCAAGTGTTCCACCAGTCGTTGGTGGTGTAGATCAAGGGGTAGCGACCAGTCTTGCTGTGGTAGGTGTTGACAAAGTCCCTGATCCAGCTGACCATGGAAGCCGCAGACAGACCGTAGCAAGTACCGCCAGATCCCGGGTTGTACTGGTTGGGGATGGAGCACGGAGTAGGCAAGTCAGCAGTCGCTCTAGCGAGCAATTGTCAAATACCAAAGCGGCAAGCGCACCTCGATGTCGAGCATGCCGGGCAGAGTGCGACCATCGTTGGACCAGCCACCTCCGTGAGCGATGAAGTAGTTGGCCTGCGTAGCGCCAGATCCAGAGTTGGGGTGCGCAAAGTGGTACGCGCCGCGGATCAGCCCAGCCGACGTAGCTCCGTTGTAGTTGGCAGAGAAGGAAGTGTCGGTGTAGGTCGTGCCTTCCGTGGCCTTGATGATGACAAAGCGAGCACCCTTGGACTTTTGCGATGCCATGTTGACAGTGCCTGCGGATACATTGCCTGTCAACGAGGCGAATGCTGACTGCCACACTCGCGCACGTCATCACTCACCTTGGTAGTGGCTGATGTCGAAGCCAGGAACGCCGGCGGGAGCGCGCTTCTCGACTGGGGAGGCGACTGCCAAGGTGGCAGCTGCCGCAAGGGCGATGATGGAGGAGGCGATGCGGACCATGCTGACGCGAAGGGGATTGTCTTTCGATCAAGTCAGGATGTGGCTTGCGTTCTGAAGAAGTCAGATGTGGGGGAAAGGGATTTCGAGAGGAGGAAGAGGACGCCTCCTTTATATACCTTTTAGCTTGCTGACCCGCCAAAGTCGAATGCACGGATTCGCTATGGGAATGGCCGCAGCTGCAAGTCACGCACAGCAGCGATGCCTTGCAGCGGCGAAGATCTGCCAGGGCGACGAAGCGGCGCTCCTATCAGCCAGCTGCGCTACAACTTGATTCTTCGAAGATTCGCCATTCGTGACTGTGATAGCCTCGCCTTGCCCTTGTCGCTACGCATCCACAGCACGTTCACTAGCGCCAAAAGCCAGAAAATACGGCGCTAGTCAACGCGTCTAATCGCGAACGGCGTGAGCGCTCTGAATTCGTGATTGCTGCTGTGTCCTTGACGCCCTCCACGCGCTTCGAGCGATCCACGAATAGGCGGCCCCCATGGGCGCGGAATTGGCCACGTGAGAATTGTTCGTGCACAAAGATAGCGGCAGATGGCCTAGCTGAGCTATTTCACGGCTTTTGCGTGGTTGTGCACCCTCCCGAATCACAAAGATATGATTCGCAAGTCAAATCAGCTCGGGCAAGCAAGTCGGTCGGCGTGTGCAGCCTCGCCCGCCGGCTTGCTGATGCTGCGCGCAGCAGATCTCTCCGCCTGCAGAGCCGCGGCGTTCGGAGCCTATTCACATTGCAGGTGGGCCGCTCGTGCGCTCAAGCACGCTAAGGCCTGCTTCCCGCTGCAAGAATGGGCGGGCGTATGCACGTTGGCCTCGTGTACCTACCTCTCGCTCTCATGCCTACCTTAATCCACCGCTCGTGATGATTCACATTTCGGGTCTGTGGTTGTAGTCTCGTACCAAAGTGGGACCGACTTGCTTCGGATGACCCGCCTGCCACCGGTATGGAATGCAAAGCCAAGCATTACGCCGATTTCTCCGGCTAGCTGCCTCTGGCAGATCTCAGCTCGCGGAAGTGGTAGTAGCGAAGTCAACTTTGGGCCTCTCGGTGCCGGTTGGGGGCGCAGGGAACGCTGCAACGGTGCAATCGCTTTGCTTCCCGAAAGGACATTGCAATCCGGAGGAGATGAGTCCTCGCTACCGAACGCACTGTACCGGCTTTGCTTCGCTTTGGTGTGGTCCAGCCGCTACCCAACACAATTGTGAATGGCCTCTCAACGTAATTGCGCATTGTTCAACCACGCCGAACCCCGTGTACCCACGCGATAGGTCGGGCACGACTCCGATAGCTCTCTCTAGCTTCTTTACTAGCGCTACGCCGCGCTGCAGCGGCCAAGATTCCCCTTTAGGGGACGGCAGACATGGCTACGTGACTTTGGGCTTTTGACTTTTGGTTGTGTACGCAATGGGACACCCAGGGAAGACAGCCAAGCTTGGATTTCATCTCTATTCTGTGACGTCACTACTACTCGCTCTCGATGCTTTGACTGACTTTGCAGCCGTGAGTCACCACTCTGCCCGTACTGGCCACACAACCGTGCTGGGTGTGTATACATTCGAAAAGCAGCATCAATCGGGCTGAATATCATAGCAGCTCGACCTCTGCATCGTCAGCACGAGCTTGCCCGGAGAAGTCCGTCTGCATTGCCTGCCTTTGTCTGCCATGAGAGCAACAGGGCCGCCCTGGCCTCCGAGCTCCTTCATAAGTCTCCCTCGCGTATTCCCCGACTTTTGCACATTTCTGCGTTGCTTCAAAGGGCATGAGGTGCGACATATCACGGCAAATCTCACGCTGCGTCACGCCGCGTCTAAGCAGCAACTTTGTGCAACGGCTTTCGTCTTCAAGCAAGGCACGCCCCACCACGAATTGCTTGATGCAGTGTCCTTCACCGTCAGAAGGTCTGGCTAACGAATGGCCACGCAAATCTACAGTAAACCCCGTCTAAATTGTCTAGGCTCTTCGCCACACCATCCATCTCACTTCAATAGCGTCTGCACCGCGTCAATACCGTTCCGCCTGTGACATCGCTTGCTTGGACGGACTGAAAACAGCTCAGTGATAACAACATTCATGGGTGGTGGTGCTGTTTGCTTGTCAGCCTTGTGGCTATTTTGAGCCTCTTCGAACCAAAAGATTGGGATAAAAGCGGGGGGTCATGAGCTGCTCATCTTGTGCGCCAGGGTGGCGCAGGTGCGAGCACGTACACACGTACGCGTCGCTCAGACGCGCCGGTCCAGTACGCGACGTTGTGGGCTGTGTTCCTTACTTCCTGAACTCAGCGCCAAGGCTGGATGAGCGCTTGTCTACTTGTGAAGATGTGTTGATCACAGCCAGGAAATTCTTTCCCAGCGCTCCGGCAGGCAATCGTACACTTAGAGCTACTTAGAAGAGACCAGCTTTGCAGAGCGCAAATCAATATGATGAAGCCAAACACCCTGGTTTCGCTCCGATGGAACATACCCTCGGTCATGCCCGATGTAGCTCTGAAAAAATGAATGCACTGTCTTTTGGCGATGGGAATCTTGATAATTTGACTTGATCGCTCTAGGCAAGTGGCAGCGTAATGGCTTGGCACCTGAGCAAGAATGTTTGCACTCAACACTCTACATGCAGGCGTTCACATGTATGTCGTCTGTGGATTAAAGGGTTTTAGTCTCCTCGACAATGCGCAATGCCGGCCGAAGCTCTGCACGCTTTGCAGAAAGTAAAAAGGCACGGCTTTCTCTCGTCGAAGAAAGTGTTGCGGAGTTTGTGTTCGCTGCCGAGACGCTCATAAAAATACAATCGGAGCGAAATGGCGTGGCCAGCTTCATGCTTTCGATAGAAGTGGCCATACCGTATGTGTTTTGCTGTTTCGTTTTCCTGCTGCATGTTTGAGCGTGGATGGTGCGGTCTCGAAAGTACCGCGCTTGCAAGTCGGCGCAGGGTATGCGTTTTTGGAGCAGCTTCCGTCAGATAAAGAGGGCTTCGCAATCCATTGCAAGCTTCCCCTGTCTATCCGACGAAGGCCTGGTCTAAGCAACTCGGAAGATAGTTGTCAGAAAATCTACACTACAGCACGCAGAATCGACCGAGACTCTATTTGCGTTTGTCGAGTAGTAAACACATCTTCCAGCGCTTAATTTTCTCAAGACAGACGATTTGAACCATACTTACGCTGATGGCACAAGACGCATCATGTCTAGACTGCCGAGTACTGGATGATGCGATAACCCACGAAGCGAGTTGCGTGTATGATACGTGCAGGATCCTTTTGGCGGAGCGACAGTATTACACCGATGCGCTTGCGTGCGGAGGGAGCATCATGTCTTTGACGGGGAATGCAGGTGTGTGGAGCTACTGTGCTCTTACGACTGGCCTCCCGTTGTTGGACGGAATTCAATCGCACCTCGGCTGCATGATATTAAGTCGCGGTGGGGTATGGCTCGGTGTCTGAAGATAGTTGGCTCGCGAGCACTGTTCTTTGGCATACAAACACAGCCAAATATGTCTTCCCGACGACATGGCAACCCCGTTGCCGCGTCATCAGTGTCTTTCAGATCGCACCAGGTGGCATACGCAAACAACGCGCCTTTGCGCAGAAACTCCTTCGATGATGCAAAGAATAAAAGTGTTGTCCCGAACTCACTCTACTGCTGCGCATGGCGTCCAATCCCAACTCACATGTAGTCAAGCTACTTCCTTGAAAGCCTCCCGATAAAGGCCTCGACAGAAGCAAGCGCGTCAAGTGACCAAGTCACCTATGAGTCAGCTCGAATGAGGGGGACTTATCAATCTTCTGGCCCCTGCCAATTGCTCACTACGGCTATGTTGATTGTGAGTGAAGCGCCGGTGCTTGTACCAGCTCACATAGCGCCATTGCTAATCATCCGCCTCCCCCTTCGCCTCTCCCAATTCAGCCACTGGTACTTTTGTCCTTGTCGATAAGCAGGAGAAGACCCTCGTCTCTTTGAGATAAAGCTACCGACGCACAGCCTTTTTGGCAAAACCTGGAACAAGGTTCCGCTTCTTGAGTCCAGGCCAAAGTCAGGCGCGCCTTAAACGGAAAGGCCAAGTCACACTGTCCAATATACTCTTCAATCAATTTTTTCTTGCATCCCATAGCAATTGCCACGCGCAATGATTGATCCCTAGTCCATATACTCTCAGCAACACCCCAATCCGCTCTCGTCAACCGCCATCTCCATTCCCAGATTCAACGTTGTGTCCACATCAATTCTACAGCACTCAGCCTTTACTGGAAGCTTTGAATCAATTCACAATTTGCGGAAAAGTCTCTGAACACCAATTTCACATGTATCTAAACCATCCCAACAGAAATCCGGTACCTATTGTGATTCAAGTTGCGATACGGAGTTACTAAGCTTGGAATTAAGCTCATAATTGCTGATCAAGTCCCACATATCTCGCAATCAAGTTCGAAGCTGGCAATTGGCCCCTTTGACCTTGGCTGCATGGCAACAATCAAGACAAGTGGATGTTGAATTCCAAAATCCAGAACGCGAGTTTTGATGCTCACGGCAAAGGGTGGTCTGAGCGCAAGGCAGAACCCGCGCCGAAGTCTTGAGAGTGCAATACTAAGAGGAATAGAACTTGTCACACCATTCGAAGAGTGTCGATGAGCAACACAGATGCGCGCTCTGACACCTGTTATATCGCAACCGGCTCGAAAGGTATGTGAGTCGGAGACCCAGATCTTTTACAAGTTTTGCCTCGGCACAGAGTAAGTCAGAAGAGGCCCATCGCTCGGCTGGCACAAAAATCACACCTGATCGAACGCAACACAGCCAAACGTCAAATCGGAGGCGTCAGAGAATTTGTATTTTACATTCGAAGAAAGAAGCCATGAACGATTTATTCTTGAGTTTCGAAACTTCTTTTCCACCTTAAAATAATAAGGTATGGCGGCTGTGGGATTCTCATCAGCAAATCGTGATTGTGGGAGCACTAGGTATACGTATAAGTTCATCACTATTTGATCTTCTTCCGCTCCTTTCGCAAACCGTCGTTGCTCGGGATTATTTGGCGTGAATGCAAGCACAGCTGTACGTCGGATTCTCTGATGTCATTTCGATAATCATTTCGGTTGCAGCAAACTCTCAATCCAGTGGCGATCACAGCATGAATTTAGGTGGATCACGAGACATGTCTAAGGTAAATTCAAAGTGTACGATCACGATTGTTGCTTTGTGACCTACGCTACCACCGGTGGTGCGAGCGCTGTCCATTAGTTGACGGCCTCATCAGGGCATGCAGTTCGGATTGGACAAAGGGACCTTAAGTTTGAATGAGTGCTCACCCAACAAAATTTGCGCGTTGAAGAAAGTCTCGCAATTTTCCGAGCGGAAGTAGATTCTCACAGAGGCGAGTGAGGGAAGACTTGTCAACCTGGCACCTCGTTTCACAAAAGGTAGTCCTGGCCCAATGGAAATGAGGGTACAAAATGGAAGCGGTCCAAATGACGCAAGTCCCAGAGAGCAACAGACGCTTGGCGCTTTTCTGGGGGAATTCGCTGGGCTCACGCTTGCCGCCGAACGGAAAAGACTCATGAAATATGCCGTTTCAGTCGATGACCACGAGAGCTTGGACACGACACATGACAGCCACGGACCGATATAGCGCACGCTGTACTGTTGAGCCGCTCTCACGTTCAAGGCTGCGCCTCCGGAAGGTAATCGCCGGAGACCTTCGCAGTCGTGTAAATAGGGGAGCAGTACGTGGTGGCGGGCAGGACATGTGGATGCTCTTCGGCACCCCAAGGTCCTGGCCGAGACACCTTTCCATGCTTCGACATCAAGAGGCTTACGCTAGCGGGGTGAGTCATAGGCGTGCGTGAGACAATAGCCCCAGCACATGCAAAGTGTTTCGTCGTGGGGTCGTTCACCTTATAAGTGAGCACGTAGTAGCCCCAATGCGATTGCCACCTTGCGGACGCTTCCCAAGTCTTTATGCTTGTCATGCCTCCTTGGTCAAGTGCCTTGCAACCTCTCGGTTGTCGCGGCCATACCGCAGGCTCCACGTGAAGCGGAACCTTCAGGTTTCATTCTCCATCGCGAGGTTTTGCCACACAAGAGACCGAAAAGGTGTCCGCTTTGAGTCCCTCCGGACTACTCATGTGAGCTGATGATCAGGAGCACGCACCAAAGCTGATGTCGAAGGAAAGTTGAGAGAGGCTAGGACCAGTTTTGTGTGCAAAAGAGAACTCATAAAGGCGGGTTCACAAATGGCAGCACAAGGAACACTCCCCTCAACATTCAGCAGCCTTGTTCGCCGAGCTGGTCTCGCGGGCAACACTTGGCAAATTTCTGCACCATCTTGATCTTTACAGCCTCTCACCAGCGCAGGCCGCTTCGAATCAAGCTTGATTCCAAAATGCAAAACAAAGCTCTCTTGTCGACGCTCGTTGGTCTTGCCATCTGCCTGGCTGGGGAAGTGTCTGCGCTTCCTGTGCATCTACAGATCCGTGCGCCACCAGTCATCGAGACCATAAGCGACTTTGTCCGCGGCGGGGGTTTGCGTCACCGCGTCCACTCGCAGCACGTCAATGAGCCAGCGGCCATCTACGAGGAAGAGACGCGACCACTCCGCGGGGGCTACGTGCCCGGGACTGGCAAGCGCAGACTCAAGAAGATCATCTTGTACAGCACGTAAGTTGCCGATGGACTCTCACGAATGGGCAAGGTCGTATCATTGTGAGCGGGACTGACGAGAACTCCCTCTCTTGTCAAGCGGTCTGGCTGCTGTTGGCACCGCCACTGGGGTGGGTGCCCATGAAGTTGTTGACCATGAGCGCGAGCAGAATCGCGAACTTGCGAAATTGCGAGCGGACTTGGAGCGACGTGAGTATCGGAGTGGCTCTTGACTGCTCGTTGCCGGCGCCACAGCAGCAGAAGTGCATGCTTCAGACGAGGCGACTCTGACTTGTACCCAGCCTATGCGTCTCTGCCACATCAGAAGCGGCAGCCATGAGAGAGTCTGCACGCACAGCTCGAGAGTACCATGGTGAGTGCAAGAAAGCATCATGTCTCACTCGCACCCACCCCAACACGATTGACCTTGTCGTTGTCCCGCCAGGCGCGGCGCATGAGCCGCCGCAGCAGAATGTGCCTGTGCCAACCTTGCCTGCCAAGTATCCTGGCGAGAATGCTTCGCCGCATTTTGGACCTCCAGGAGGGATTAATGAGCTGGAGCATGAGAGCGGCACACAGAAGCAACCTATCGGTGACATGCCAGCACCTCAGGCGAACACGCCGTCGCAAGACAAGAAGCATCCGCCACATGCAGATGACATTCCAAACGAGTCGCGATTGCAAACTGCCGAACGACGAAGAGCCAGATAGCACCATACAAGGAAAAGCCGTTCCCGGTCCGCCGACCCCTCAAGCGAACAGTCCTACTGGAGATCTTCACCACCCACACGAGGCAGAGCTAGACGAACACGGCGTGGAAAAGGTTGCCCCGGCGCCTCCGTCGCCAAAGTCCAATACGAGCCCGCCGCACGAGCTGCAGACGGTCGGTGAAGGCGATGATGGGACTGTGGGCAATCGCACCGGAGGACCAGCTCCCACCACACCCTCACCAACCAAGGAGAGTCCGCACGTTCCATAGGCCAGACTTCATCAACATGGACGTGACGTGATCAGCTGCGATGACGCGTTGGGAGGCGAGAGAGGCGCTGAGTGGAATTCCATGTGATTGGATGTAGCGTCCAACCTTTGGCGTGAATTCATTTCGTCGTGTCACAGACGGCTGTCGCGCAGTGTCGCTCGCTGTAGAAAGAATCGTGAGAGGCAAAGCTTGGAGATGGACTCGAGCTGCGTGGCGTGGATGATGCCAAGACATGATTGCACTTGGGCGGCGATAAGCGCCGAGAGTATGCTGGCGTCCTGAAGAGATGAAATGTGCGCCGACCCGCGAATCTTGAATGGATTGTTTACGTATTGATGCTCTGGCCTGCTTACACCTGTTGACTCTTTGTTGAAATGTGCGGGCGGCGCGCGCCAAAGTGCAATTGTCTGGCTGAGTGAGTCTTACCGCACCCTCCTACGATCGACGTAACCTTGAAAAGACGCGGCGCTTTCGAACACGAGCGTCGCTGCCTCAGCGCTGAGAGCATGTAATTGCGATAGCGAGCCGGTCTGTTGCATCTGCGATGGGTGTTGTTCTGTTGTTGATGCTCGATTGCCACAAAGCGACTCATTGTTGAGCGCGTGTGCGTCCCTACGAGCTTCGAGCATCGAAGTCCGTAAGCTTGACCAGCGTTGCTGCGCCCTGGGGGGGCGTAGCGGCTGAGACAACTGCCGAAGTGGCGACTGACTTGTGTTGATCTATTGGGCGTGTGCGTGCGCGTGTGGATCTGCCTGAGACGTCTTGCTACATTTGTCTTTGCCTTGCGCCGTGCATTTAAAACTTTGGGATCGTGCGATGGGCCAGGCGAAACATTGACAGACGAACACTCTGCGGCGAAGCCGCTCACTTTCAACACGGCGTACACACAGTGACCTTGCCGGTGCTCGGGGCTGTACTGTAGCGTACGTGCATAGTGAGCTGAGCCGAGCCGAGCCGTGCGCGCCACCCGCCCTCCCACAGACGCCCAAAAGGGCGACGCTGCGAGCTTGCAAGGTCTCACCACTCACCGCATCTTACCATCAGGCTTTTTCCAAATCGTCTCACCGCGGTAGACTTTTTCTCAGCTTTGCACAGAGCTGGCCTCCGTGCGATCTCTTACTTTTTTTCAGCGCTGCTCTTGCTAACTTGCGACGCTGACAATCCCAACATTCGATTCAAGCATGAAGCTACCGCTCCCATACCCTGTCGCGGCGCTCGGTATGCTGCTCGCCGCTCCCTGCGTGCTGGTCACCGCTGTGCCCACCGCCCCGTTGGAGGCCCGCAACGGTCCCACAGGAGTAGTCGAGTCGCTTGGACACGAGCTGGGCGACGCCGGCAAGGAGGCGGGCAAGCTGCTCAAGATTGGCGACACCCACTCTGATTTCAAGCCGATCCAGCACCACGACTCCGATCTGGTCTTTAAAAAGAAAGCAAAGCACAGCAAGTGGGCGGGTGTGGCCAAGGGCGCTGCGTAAGTGGAGGTCGACCGACGCTGGGCAACACTCGCGAAGTCGCAGCTTGCACTGCTCGTCTGCCCAGAAGCTGACTTGGGGCCGCTCGCCCTTGCTGACTCGCAGTGTCGGGTCATTGGCTGGTGGCGCCTTCTTTGCGGGCAAGTGGTACGAGGACTCTCGACAGCTGGCCGCCAAGCGCAAGCAGGAAGCCAAGGAGAATGAGCAGATCATGGATTTCATGAACCGCACCATCTCGGGTCAGTGCCGTGGCTGCCGCGGTGCTTTGTCTCGCTCGTCATCTCCTCTTGTCCACGTGCTGATGCCCCTCCATGCCTCTTCTCTCCCTGGCCCCAGGTTCAGGACCTTTCTCCTCTGCCAACAAGCAGCCAGGCAAGCAGCCATGAGAGGGTTGCCGCGGGGCAGCCTGGGCGATGACCATTTCACATTCCCATTCAATCTGTGATCTCGAGTGTGTTGTCGCAGTCCCTGTTGTTGTAGCGCCAAGTGGCCACTTGATGTGCGCATGGATGTAGAAACGGCGAAAGGACGTTGACGGTACGACCAGCAACTTCCAGTCGTTACTTTGTCCACCGAGGGAGATTCTTTATCACGCCTTTGACTAATCGACGTGCTTCGCGCCTCGACAGACGTGGTCCGATGTCGCGCAAGTGAGGTGGTGAAGCTTGGATGTGCCATCGCCGCACGCAGGCAGGCACGCACGGCGACTTAAAATTCAAATTGGAGTCGCATCAGTCCGTCAAGCCACGTGGGCGTCCAAGGCATGACTGACTGCCCCCCCGTGTGCCAAAAGCAGGTGCGTCATGCATCGCCGCGGATGAATTAGCGCGCCAAGGCGGAGCTAACAAAAGCGCGCGCGGGGCGGGGGCAAGCCGTGCGCGGGCCGCCCGCCCTTCACTTTCCAATTTTGGCATGCGCGTGGCCCCTTCTCCACACCAGCACGCGCACGCGCACTCGATCTTGACTCTTGCCTCTGAAACGGCGATCAGTGGTCCGAGATTGTGCAAATCACCGAGCACAGTCGTGAATGCGTGTCGTGTGGTGTATCACAATCGGGACATCAAGCGCTAAGCGCAGCTTTCGTGTGAGCCAAGAAGCGCTGCGTGCGGCCAAGTACCGCTTGCTGAGGGTTGAAGCGCGGAGGATGACATCCCCACTGCATCCATTTAGCCGCGTCTTGGCAGACGAGATTGCCAGATGCCAAGGCAGACGACGCTTAGCCGCAGGATGCTCTGCCATCGGTACTCAAACATCGAGCATGGCTGGTGCATTACTGCGAGCTTGGCAAGAAGCGAAAGGAGTTGAAAGCGCGTGAGCCTTCTCCACCTGCTCGCTCCTTTCCAGAGCTCTGTCCAGCAGGTGAGAGGGCGGTATATAAGGGGGGCTGTCAGTCGAGTGGAGAACATCACATCATCGCCACGTCACATCACACCACACAAGTCCATCTCCTACACCAACACTTCTCTACAACGCCAGCATGCGCTTCACACTCACCCTCCCGCTCGTCGTTGCCGCTTGCGCCATTGCGGGGCTGGCTCAAGCCGCCAACATTGCGCCACGTCAAGGCACCTGCGAGGAGAATTACGGCACGTATCCAGAGTACACTGGCCCTTGCGAGCCTTCCAGTGAGTCACGAGTGCGGCTGGGGGCATGGTCAGGACTTTGTCGATAGAAGCATCATCGCTCACGCTTCTCGAACCGCATCTGTCGCTCATATAGACTGCGGGGCCAGAGGTACAAAGTGCAACCGCGGACAAGGCTGCGTCATCTATCCAGGTGAGTGGGGGCAGGCAGGCAGGCAGCTCATGATCCGATCAAGCGCATGCCGAATCGTTGATCACATCGCATCCATTTCGATTTCCAGCCTTTGGATGCCCAGCTCAGGGTTGCGCTTGCACTTACTACTAATAATCACGTGAACAATAGCGGTGCCAACGCAAGTCCTTGGGTCACATCGTGACTGAGGCATCAAGTCTAATCGTGAAATAGCAAACCTTTAATACCGTGTCTGAGATGCATGCTTGTCTGCGAACGGTTCGAGTGAATGCTGAATGGATTTCACAATTTCATGGTGATCTGGGCGATCGCGCATCAAACATCAACAAGGGCATTGGCTGGCTGTACACGTCGCTTCTGTCCCCGTGCTCAACTCGCACCGGGCTTGTTGCTCTGACACACGAAGCGAATCGCGTGCACGCCCGAGTCGGCTTTAGCGAGGTGTCGATCGCGATAGTGAAGAGTCCAGGCCCAGCTGAGTGGCTGCTCCCATGCCCGACTGCGAAATCAAGATCAGCGCAAGCGGGCCAATCATGACTCCGCGGCGCCTCGTGCACGTGCACGCACCCATGCAGCCAACCCACGCGTCGAAATCGCCAGTCAAGATGAAATGTGAATCGTGAATTCAAATTGAGAATCGATATCGGGACCACGCATTCAAGCTTCACGATTCGTGGTTCAGGGTCGACATCCCGTCGGAGCGTTGAAGATGTATGGGTGCGCAGCAAACCGCCCAGGTCGCACCATTTCGAGTGGTGAGGACTGAAGAGTCTTTGCTGTTTGTTTGGGCGGTGGCACGGACCACTGCTGCACAGCCAGCAGCAGCCCAGTTCCGAGCGGGGGAGGGGAGGCTGCATGCTGCGTGGCGTCCTTGCATGCAGGCCAGTCGCGAGTTGTGAGTCGTGATTTGCGCTGCTCGATCGTGATTCAGATAGATTCCAGACCGCGGGGCGCGGGAAGTGGCTCAGACTTGATTAGGACTCTTGACTCGAGACTCGCGACTCAGTCGGACTGATCAAAGACTCGCTCGCGACCTGACTCGCCACAAGCATCCACGGCGTCCTTGTAGCCTGCTCGATTCGATAGCGCAGTCGCAGTCGCAGTGCTGCCTCCGCCCTCACACAGGGGACAGTGATGGGTGTTTGTGGATAGCGAGCCTGGAGGCTTGTCTTGCGCACCACGCCCGCCTGATCATCCACACGAGCGCGCGAGCTACATAAAGAGAGGCTGCCTTCAGGGGTGGCTAAGCAAGTGCCCCTGTGCTTTTCTCTGCCCTCGCCCCTCGACACTCCGACGCTCTGCCCCTCCTCTTTCCAGCTTCCGATTTGCCAACGAACAACAACTGGAGACAGAAAAATGCCAGTCTGCGACGCTTGCTTCGGTGGGGTGGGGGATAACGCGCGTGGCTGCAAACGGACCAGCCAACAGGCTTGCAGGAGGTGCCAATCGCATGGCATCAAGTGCAAGGTCAGCTTTGGAGAGGATCCCGGAAAGAGGCAATGGACTGATGGAAGGCGCTTCGAGCACAAGCACAGTCATGAACTTGTCGAGCTTGTGAGCGTAGATGGCTCAAGGCGCTGGACTTCCGAGGGCGAGGGAGATTTTCTGTGCCTGCGAGACCCAAGACATTGCGACGCGAACTGCAAGCATTACTGGCGTCGAGTCGTGAATACAGCCAATCCCTCACCCGAGCAGGGAAACCTCGAGGAAGCTCTCGAACATCCGATGGAAGAAGATCCGGAGCATCCAATGGAAGGAGAGGAGCAGGAGCAGCAGGGGCAGCAGGGGCAGCAGGGGCAGGAGCAGGAGCAGCAGGGGCAGCAGGGGCAGGAGCAGGAGGAGGAGCAGCAGCAGGAGCAGCAGCAGCAGGAGGTCGAGCTGCCAATGGACGAAGATGTCGGGCAGCAAAGCCATGAAGGTTCCGGGCAACCGACTGGAGAAGGTCTCGCGCAGTCACTAAACATGAATGTCCCCACCGGAAACGGACTCGGGGAACTGAGCGGCATGGATGCGCAGCAATGGGAAATGAACTGGTGGCGCTGGACTTATCGTGCTTATCAAGACCTGCCTGTTCACGTCTATCGAACCCTAGACGGGGCGCATGCGCCGCGCCGAGGGGAGACACCGCCGCACACTTGGGAAGAGCTCTGGACTATCCATCCGTCCCCAGCTCAGCCTTCTCTATATGGTGCGTTACAAGGTTCAGACTGTCTGTTGCGTGCGAATTCGCTTTGACAGGTCCGAGAACCCCGTTCCACTCCCATAGAGCACGTCAAATATGCGCCTATTTGTCATTGGCACATCAAGAATTTTGCCTCGACGGAGGAACAGCTCAAGAACGTCAGCTCCCTCAAGGGCGGCATCGTAGACCACGAGTCCGAGGGTTTCATCTATAGCAATCCTACGGATTACAACCACAGCTTCACGCCTAGTGACGGCTCCTCATCTCACGACATTGTGAGTACAGGCACCGCGGCACAGCTTGCAGACTCTAAGGCGTGCGAGCAAGCATGCTCAAACCGAAAACCTCTGCCTCAGCCGCCCCTCTGGCTGTATCCAGATTGGCCCTTTCCTGATGCAGCTCAGACGCAGGCAGCGTCTTGCCGACAGTATCTCTTGTGGCATCACTGCACAGACCGCTCCGAATCGGTCTGTAATCTCCAAAGCTGGATGGAGCATTGTCGCACGGAAATGAGCAGGGGAACATCTGCGGACGCTATGAATGCGGCACACAAATTCGCTGCCCTACTTGCAGCTCACGTAAGGTTGGGCGAGTTTGGGTCCGTGTTTGTGCGCAGATGCTACCATTTTGATGTGAGTGAACACTCGACCGTTCCGAATTCGAATCCAGCGTCGCGCAACGCATCGAGACGCACTGACATATCGTGCTGGGACGATCGCACTGATGTGCGCAACACTCGACTGGCGCGCAGGCACGGCTATGCGTCTTTGACATTCCACCGGGCGAATATCAGACTATCTTGCTGCTTCATCTCTTCGACAGTCAGGGGCCTCTGCTACCGCCGGAGAACACCCGAAATGCAAAGTGCATCCGTGGCAGCACGGCTCCTCTGACTCCTCCTGCAAAGGTGGATCACGACGAGAACATCCTCGGAGTGCCTGCAAATGATGAGTGGGGCAGAGTTCGAAGGCCACGTAGACCGCTTGGCCTGCGACTGGACGTACGAATTCCAGAGTGGAGCAGCGACCCTACCATCAGCGCCCAAGGCAAGCAATCTGAACTAGAAAAGGCGGCAAGTCACGGCACTTGGGAGGAGCCAGGTCAAGGCTACCCGGTGCGTTTCGAGCAGCACTACGAGCTGAGCTGGAACCCCTTCCAGGGAAATGTTGGGAAAGGCTGGCAAGTCTTCATATCTGCGGACAAGATGCATATCACTCAAGAATACCCCTCGCGCATCTTCAGGCTCCACAACCCCAAGAGTGGACACGAGAATTTTGCAGGGATGCGCTTCGGCGGCATGCTCTTACGTAAACTTTCCTCGAGGTCGCCTTTCTGACCCGCCTGCGCGGACGCAAACTTCGCATGAGCTTGGCACTTGTCACCCGTTCGCCACATTACGTCACGTCCTGCTTTGATCTGTCCTTCATTCACGACTTGTTATTTAGATATTCATCCACACTTGCCATATGTACAAATAGTCTCGCTGGATACTGACAGGTGCATCAAGACCTGCCGCTTACATCTGGGATCTCGCAGCCAGCTCCGGATGTGTCGCTTGGTGATGCAAGTTTTACTGGCCAACGATGACACCCTCGACGCGGTAGCAGGCGTTTCCCGTCAGCCCCGTGGAGGTACTGCTCATATCCGTGTGGTGATTGATGGGGTAGTCTGCTGGACGTTGAATAGTGACGCTGTGAAAAGCCAAGGGTCCATCCTGATTAGTCAGCCAGCTCTGGATGAGAGGACGAATCTTGTCAAGGATGACGCTGCTGGGATGCCCGCTCAACGCCAGCTGAACAGCTCCTAGGCTGGTGGCTGTACGCGACATGCGACGTTGTGTAGGGTCAGCAACTCCTCGCAAGAAATCCTGTGCTCGGGACCTCACTCAGCGCATTGTCTTTCGGCATCACAGGTGCAATGGCACTGGCAGACGATTCGAAAGCGTCCAGGAGTTGGGCCACCTTTTCGGGGCTACCGTGGGCGATATTGACGAGCAAGTAGGTGAAGGTGATGGGCCGGGACTGATCACCCTCATTCTTGACTTGGAGCGTCGTCCAAGCCGTGTAAGCAGCACCGCCATTCTTCTTGCCAGAGTGCACCTGGGCAAGCGCAGTGACGCGAGAAAGCTACGTGTGAGAGTCCGTCAATTTGGACCCGCATGTGAGCTTAACACACCTTGCAGTGATATTTTTCGATCATCTGCCCTATGATGACGCCTCCCTGCTTGGCACGAATGGCGCGCCATACCCTACAGAATGTAGCGGAGAAGGCTCGGTAAGCGTACCTCTTGGTTTGGTCACAACTCGTTTCGACTCACGTATCCTCGGCGGGCCAGGTGGTGGCGGTCGTGATGGGCGTCATGCTCTGCATGTAGGCGGTAAAAGTCTTGCAAGACATTGTGCTATTCAAAGTGCGGTGGAGATGGGAGGGATGATACAGCGGCAGATAACTTTGTCGATGAGGAACGAGAAGAGCTGAATGAACAGCAGCTCGACACTCATTATTTATACACGAGCTTGACCAGCGTCATGTTGACAATTTTCTGCCGAATCGTGATTGCGATTGCACGACGTGACGTCGCACGACACGCCGCCCAGCACGCATCGGTCAGCGAGCTCAGACAACTGACGTGGGAAGCATGTTGGACAGCGCTGAGCGCGCTCCTCAGTGATGTTTCGGCGTGCAGATGTGCGAAAGCGGAGCCCGATTCACCAGCCAAGGGGAACGGCGAATTGCAGATGCGTACACAGCCACTCGCGGTCTGCAGATCTGCATCAGGCCGTGCCGCACCTGAGCTCCGGTGCAGTACACGCCGCGCAGATGACCATCAGCACATGCTGCTGCTGCTGATTGGAAGATCTGCAGATCTGCAGATCTGCACTCTGACTCTGCTGTGAACGCGTTCCTGCCGCGTCAGGTCACGCGAGTGCAGATCTGCACGCGCAGGGCGCACCCGTGTGAGCCGTCGAAATTGCAGATCTGCTTCTGCAAAGCCCGATAGCGGCGATAAACAGATGTGCAGCTGGGCTGACTCGGCCTCACACTGGCCAAGTGCGCCTTGACCATGCATGCAGATCTGCAGCATTTGATTTGTGCGACTCGTAGCGCACGCGCACACGCACGGTCCTCATGATGTGAAACACAATTGACATTCACATCATGAATGTGATCGGCGATTCATGCGTGATCGCAGACCTGCTGGGACGTCAACATTATGAACTCTGAAGCGGATCCTCGTACATCGTGCAGTTATGAGTGTGGCCGGCTTGATGCTGTCATCGCAAACGGGCTGATGCCAAACAATTGCTGATCTCCCATGTGCTGATCGACATCGTCCAGCCATCAGCGGCATGGCCCCAGAAAAGGCATATAAGCTGGCCCGGACGAGCGTCCCAGACGCTTGATCTTCATCGTCCAATCCTAAATATTCCCCTCACACAGGTCCAGATTTTCATCATCGCGAAGCTCGCAAACATGAGTGACATTGTTAGCAACGCTCAAGGTGAGAGCTGACCCTGTGGTAGCATACTGTAGCAGCTGCTGACTTCGCTTTTGCAATCTGCTAGTCGATGCTCTCCTTCGTCAGCGCCTCACACCAGCTCAATTGAAGGATCGCGAGAACTTCGCTGGCTGGTACGCTACCAAGCGCAGATGGACCGTGACTGCGGGTGTCATGGCTCAGATCGGTACCTTTATGGGAGTCGCAACTCTGCTTCCGCCTGTTGGAGTCGCGGCTGCACTCGGTGGAGGTGGTGCGTGCGTCGGGGCGGCGCTTGGTCTCGGAGATGCTGCGTATGCTGCAGCACTGCAGGAAGGAGCCAAGAAGTGGGACATCCTCCACGGCTATGGAAATCTGTACGCTTGACGCACGGTGAGAAACGATGGCCGAGTGGGGCTGGGATAGTGCTGCGAGCTGATATCAGACTTGCACCCTGCTCTAGAAGTAGAGAAGCAATGCATCGCATCGTGCTCTCGAAAGACTCACACTGGCTCTGTTTCCTTCCCATGATCATTGCGCTTCAACTTCCTTCACACCACCCTTGACCGCGACGCTTGATGCTTCACAAGAGGGCTGCCTGCAATCGGCAATCCTTTTCAACCTGCTCTCTGTGACATTTATCAGTTCCTCACTTTGTGGCGCGAGACGCTGCACCTGACTTTCGGCGTCAGAGCCAACGTGTGAGCTTGCAATCACAGCACTTGGCGTGCGGAACTTTGAAGAGCAAAGGCAAATCGTGACATTGAGGTAGGCTCAGCGATGACGTGTCATGCGAGCACAGCAGTATAGGACAGACGAGCAGCGTAGGCATACATGACGGTCGGCAGGCGCATCCAGGAACACGCCTGCTGACGCGTCCGAACACGCAGCAGGTTAGTGGACGAGACGGACGTCGAGACGCCTGCCTCCATCCTCCTTGTTGTGAAGCGTATACTCGATCCTCTCGTCTGCAGTGAGTTTGGCCCATTCTGCCTGCTTGGATCGATTGCGCCAAATGTAGTAAGCCTTGGTGGCGAACGCCTGGACGATTGCGAAAGCGCAAATGACAATGAGAGCGGTGAATCCCTTGGGGTAGTAGGGCTTGTCGTTTTCGGCAAAGATGCGCGTGGCAAAGATGCTGCCGACTTGGTAGGACATGTTGTACAAGCAGACCGCCACTGCTCTGTTTCTGACCGACTTTGAATTTTGCGAGAGCCAGCTGATGAGCGTGGGGTGGCAGTAGGGAAAGGATGCGACGAGGGTGAGGAGAGCGTAGCGCACCCAAGACCAGTACGAGTCTTTGAGGTGTGGGATGGCACGGAGCGCGATGAGCAGGGGTAGCGTCCACACGTTCGAAAAGACGGCGATGAGGCTCCTCTCGTTGTAGCGGCGCGCCAACCAAGAGAGCCAAAGGCAATTGACGGCAAAGAGGAATTGCGAGGGAATTGCGAGGAGATTGGAGTGCAGGACGCTGAAACCGAGGTTGCGCAGCGTCAGGGAGAGGTACGTTTGAGGGGGTTGGAAGGGAATGTAGATGACCAGACCAAGCAGGTAGATCGGCCACAAGTCCTTTTCGCCGAGAGCGCGCCAGAGGCCCTTCCAGTCCACGGCTTGACGGTTGTTCATGTCGCCTGCGCGTGATTCGAGGTCAGTGGCGCTCTTGCTGTGCCCATTCGCTCGCTGATCTATTCGCACTCACCCTTGGTAGCGTCGTCACGAAGCACCCTATTGACAAGGATCTTTTCCTCGCGCTCGTTGAACCAGCCATTCTTGCCGCGGAGCCAGCCTTTGGAGGCAGTGACGCTGGGAACCATCCAGAAGAATGCAAAGATGCCGACGACGCCAGTGATGAGACCCTCAAAGGCGAAGAGGTACTGCCAACCCGCCAGACCGTGCCAGCCTCGAAGCTCGATGAAGGCAGCGGCCAGGAAACTTCCTAGGATCTGGCTGATGCCGAGCACGGTGTAGAACCAGCTGAGCCTAGTGGTGAGTTCGGCGCTGGTGTAAAAGTAGGACAGGTACAGGCACGCGTCTGGGATGAAGCCGCCTTGCGCTGCGCCGAGGAAGGCGCGCGTGAGGAAGAAGGAGACCTTGTTGGTGAGACCGGCTTGAGCTGAGCAGACGATGCTCCAGACGACGATCTGCACGGGGATCCAAATGTCGGCGCCCAGTCGCTTGCTGATCAGTCCAGAGGGCAGCTCCATGAACAGGAAACTGTGCGGGTGTGCGAGGTGTGGGTGCACGTTCGACGATGCGCACGAGGCGCAGACGGAAGACTTACCTAGCAAAGTACTGCAGTGGCGTGTGCAAGAGGAGAAGGAGCGACAATGAACGTGAGAGGATGTTGTACGGGTCGATGCACGCAAGCAGTGAGAAAATGTTGTGCGGGTCGATGCACGCTTCCTCGCTCGCTCGCTCGCTCGCACTCACAATGACTTGGCCGTTGTTAAAGTCGTCGGTAGTGATGCCCAAGTCGTTGAGGAAATTGTCGGGCAAGGCGCGATTGATGTTGCGGCGGATGAGACTGCAGCGAAGCACAAGGGCAGAGGTGTGGGTGATCTGTCAAAGTGTCGGCGTGCGTTGCCTGCGCGCTGCATACTCACTCGAGGCTCATAAACAGGACCCAGATGAAGACTGCAGGGCCGGAGGCAGCGCAGACGATAAGGTGAGCGGAAGCCGGAAAGGAAGTCTACGCCTGGCGCGCTTACTCACGCATGATTCTAATGTCGAGCTTGCGCACCAGCTTGCGCTCCTCTTCGGCGTCCCACGTGAGGTGCGGATCGAAGCGATGACGACACTCGTACTTGGACTCTTCGTACACTGCGGCCCATTTTGCAGCTACAGCAGGATCTGAAAAGATGTGCTTGTCGCTGCCCAGATCGCTCTGGTCGTCGGATGTGCTTGCGGCATCTTCGGAGCGCTTGGAATCAATTTGCGAAGTTCTCTGAGCGCCATCGCGGGTGAGCGTCGCGTACTCTGCCGGGCTCGCAAAGGGTTGTTCTTTTTCTATGGAGGCAGACATGATGGGGGTTGGACACTTGGGGAGAAGGGAGGAAAGCAGAGGTGCGGATGAAGACAGAGCAGCTTCGAGCGTCTGTGATCCTTCCTTTTGTACGCTTCCCGCACCGGCCGCAGTCGAGGCGCGCGCGCACCGTCTGGCAATCATCGATACGTGTCGCCCGAGTGCGCAATTCTTCTCAGCGATAACCATTTGGCGATGCCGGCTTCCAATTCGTGTGGCTGAATGCGTTTGCTTCCACCAATTCCTCGCCGACCTGGTCATGCCCCGAAAGTCTCGGTCTAGATCCCGCCACGGCCAACAAGGAACGGCGCAGATAAGAAGCAACATCGAGAAGGGGCGAGGGCGCTCCACCAGTCACTTCTAGCGCGACTCTTGGCCTCGGAACCGATGGTGGCATGGCATGGCATGGCATGTGATAGTCTCCGTGTTGCTGAGGCAATGTCAAGCCACACCCAGCGCGTGCTCGTCAGAGTCGATCTGCTGGTGGGCAAACTTGTACGAGGCATAGGCGGGCGACTTGTGATTGCCAACACTCCGCAAAGGCAGGCAGGCTGACTGGCTGGATGGATGAGAGGGACGTGTGTGCGATGGCCGTTGAGTGCGAGTCGAGATGCTTACGCACAGGCACAGGCACAGGCACACGCACGACTGGGGGAGCGACGCGTGCGTGCGTGCCAAGAGCGATGACGATGGGCTGCCAGCATATCGCGTGATCAAGCGCGCGAGCGAGCGAGCGAGCGGGATGATTGCGTTCACGCGTACCCGTACCCGTACCCGTACCCGTACCCGTACCCGTACCCGTACCCGTGCACCGTCCGCTCTCTGCGACAGCGCGCTGCGTACGGTCACCGCGCTGGCCCATGCCATGCCGAATCGTGAGAAAAAGTCATGGACAAAGCCACTCGTTGACTCGTGAGTGCGATTCGGGGTGCGCAACTTGATGCGTGATTCGCGATTGTCTGTGCCTGCCTGCATTCATCCCCCCGCAACCTCGTCTTTCTGTACTCGACCGCAGCCAAGGGAAGCGCAGAGCTACAGAGGCCGTCGCCCCTCCCTCCCTTCTAGGCCAGCAGATGACTGAATGTATGCGCGTGATCCTTTGCGAGCGCATCTTCAGCGGCAGCAGGACAAGCGCATCCTCTTACCGCGATGCTCACTGCTTGCGCCTTGAAGCGTTGAATGCCATGCTGTCTCTTGACACTCGCACTCGACCTTCCTTCCCTTTGGCTGGGATGTGCGCGCGTCTTGCAGTCACGCGTCGGGAGTGTGAGTGTGAGTCATGAGTGTGATGGTGGCGGCGGGTGTAGAAGGGACGCACGCGTGGGTGCGTGCTGCTGGGTGCGCGGATGGGCGGATGCAGGGTCGTGCATGCGCGCACGCACGCACGCGACTGTATAACGGCGATGAATGGCGAAGTGCAGCCACAAAGTGACGAAGCAGAGCGGAGGTGCGGAGTGATGTGCGTGCGTGTGCGTGTGCGTGTGCGTGTGCGTGTGCGTGTGCGTGTGCGTGTGCGTGTGCGTGTGCGTGAGCGTGGTGGTGCTGATGCGTCTGTGCTTGCGCTCCGACACTCACGACTTGCTTGACCGCGGGGCTCAGGTGACGGCGCGATTGCGTGCTCTTGGCTTGGCCTTGCGCAAGGCACAGCGAGCGACCCATCACCACCATCACTCACCACTCGCCCCGTGCAAGCAACACCTTCATCCGCTAACTGCTCGCAACGTCACCCGTACCTGCATTCGCATCCACACAAGCTCATGCGATGCGATGCGATGCGATGCGATGCGATGCGATGCGATCGGCAACCTCGACCATGCGCATGCCAGGACCCGCAAGCTGCTGGCGTGAGTCGAGCGAGCGAGCGAGCGCACATGCATGGGCGACGTGATTCGTGAATGACGTGCGTGCGCGTGCGCGTGCGAGTGGTGAGTGCTGCTTGGCCATCATCGTCAGGCGCTCTCGCGACTCGCGACTCGTGCCTACGACGACGTTGCATGGTCGACTCTGCTTGACCGCGCGCGACGACGCTCGACAGCTTTCCTACAAAGAAGCTCGTCTTGGAGCGAACATCCATCGCAGCGCATCGCATCGCATCGCTCGACCCGCCGCTCTGCTCTCCTCACATCACGCGCAGGCCGAAGCAGCTAAACACCATCATCGCGCGCCCACCACCATCGCACGCCCACCACCATCGCGCGCCCACCACCATCGCGCGCCCACCACCATCACCATGAAGGCCCCCTTCAAAGTGCCCACCCTGCTGTCCCTCGCCTTGGCTCTGAGCGCATCATCCACCTGCTCCGCCACCTGGCAATTCCTCTCGCGTCCCGATCTCAACGTTCCCATCCTCAACATCACCCACAACACCCCGTCTGCCAGCCAGCTCTCCCCCGGCTTGCTCTTCATCTCCCCCTTCTCTGGCGACTCGGATCACGATGAGCTGGCATCGCCTCAACAGCCAGGCCCTTACATCTTTGAGCCTCACTCTGGTCAGCTCGTCTGGAGCGGCTTTGCGCACTACACTGCCGGTTGGACCGTCAGCTTGCACAAGACGCGCTTCAAGGGCAAGGATGCGCTGCTGGCCTTTGAGGGCAAACACAATGCTCTGCACGGCCATGGCCACGGTCACCTGACCCTGCTCGACCAGTCGTATGGCCACATCAAGAGCGTGGGAGCGGGTCATCATCGCTTGGTGGACAAGCACGAGGCGCAGGTGATTGCAGATGGAGCTTCCGCACTTGTTCAGATCTACCATCCCGTGCCCAGGTATGCTCTGCAGCAGAGTGCAGGCGAGGGCGGCGAACGCGGCGAGGAGGGCGAGCAGCAGCAGCAGCAGCAGCACGAGCACCGACAGTGGGTCGTCGATGCGCAATTCCAAGAGGTGGATGTGCAGACGGGCAGGACGCTGTTCGAGTGGCACTCGCTCGATCACGTGCCCGTGCACCACTCCAACATCAGCCTCGTAGGTGGTCAGGCCGGCAATGGCACCTCTTCGCAGCAGGCTTGGGACTACTTTCACATCAATTCCGTCGACAAGGACAGGCACGGCGATTACCTCATCTCTGCCCGCGACGTCAATTCGGTGTACAAGATTTCGGGCAAGACTGGCCGCATCATCTGGGCGCTTGGTGGTCGCAACACTCACAACAAGGACTTTGAGCACCTCGATGATCAGGTCGCCTTTTCCTACCAGCACCACGCCAGATTCCACGGTCACGACCACAATGGCAGGGAGCTCATCTCCCTCTACGACAATAGCGCTCACGGCACAGAGACGGGCGCAGGCACAGAGGTTCGCGATGCCAAGACGTCATCGGGCAAGATCATCGCCCTCGACACGTCTGCCGACAGGTCAAAGGGAGGCAAATGGACAGCTCGCACTTGGCGCGCATTCTATCCTCCATTCGATCTGCTTTCGAAGAGCCAGGGTTCGACCCATGTGCTGGGGGATGGTCACGTCGTCGTCAATTGGGGTTCCGAGGGTGCGGTGACGGAGTTCAACGATGCGGGAGAGGTGCTGTGGCACGCTTTCCTCGCATCCAACAGCCATCACCCAGAAGCGGCGCGCGGTGGACACGTGCAGAATTATAGGGCCTTCAAATCGACGTGGAGCGGCCACCCTGCAGAGGAGCCAGCAGTGGTGGGACTGGCATACCGAAGCGATGATGACGGCAAGCTCTTGCCCTTCGACGCGCGCGGCAATGCGCGTGGAGCAGCACCTTTTCGAGCGCAAATCGTACTCGCAGCCAGTTGGAACGGCGACACCGAGGTGCGAGCGTGGAAATTTCAGCTTCGTCGCAAGCCTGCTCACGAGACGCGCACTTGGTCCGATTGGTCTTTCATCGCTTCCATCAAGCGTCTCGAGGGCTGGCGTGGCGTGCATCACCTGACCACCAAGCCGCGTTCTGGCTTCGAGACGCGGGCAGTGGTGGGCGTCGAGAGCGCTGGCTTGGCCAGCGAGCTCCACAAGCACCAGATTCGAGCGATTGCATTGGATGCAAGAGGCAAGACGCTCACACTGACCAGGTGGGAGGATATCGACACGCAGAGACCGGTTCCGCCGCAGCTGCAGGAGATTGATGGAGTTGGGGACGCAACTGCATTTGTGGTGCAGACAGCGCATCACTAGACGCGGCGCGTGCGCGCGGAAACAGGAATTGCAGGCAAGACGATGCGAGCGTTGATGTCACGACTCGTGAAAACAGGAAATGCCATTGCTCGTTCACAGACTGGCACGTGATTTGACATCGAGTGAAGCGATGGCGTGCCCGTCTATTGGGCTGACCATCGAGCACGACTCGGACTGCATCCTGATGGGATGCGCATCGATGCTCGCTCGGCGAGCGCTCTCCCCGCACGACATGGCACGATAGGAGGCGCGCATCTCGCTGTAGCACTCCCGAGTGTTGACCACTTGTGCCGGATAGGCGGCAAACGGCAAGTCCAGGTGCGGATCGAAAGCGTGGCTGGATCGACGCGCTGGAGCATCCATGACGCTGTCCGACCGCATCGCCCACGTGCGCTTCTCCCACGATCCAATGTGAGGAGCGAGAGTGAGAGGAGCGAGAATGTGAGGAGCGAGAGTGTGAGTCGCTCGCTCTAAGTCGGCAGCACCGTGTCTGGACAGTCTGCGCAGGACGGCGACGGCAATGGGCGCTCGGAGGCTCGATTTGCGCGACTTGACCGGACTGGGTTGCGGGCTCAATCCCTCGACTGCGCTCATCATTCCGTCCAGCTTCTTGACCTCGATGCGACGAGGTGAAGCTGGGTGCTGCCGCTTGTCGGCCAAATCTCTCAAGTAGAGATGCACTCGACAAGCCATCGAGAGGGTGATCGAAGCGTGGATCGGAGTCAGGATGCTGGATATGTGAGGCGCTTGCTGCGAAAGGAGCAACGCGCCGCACGAGATGGAGAGCAGGATGACCATCGAATAGTATGCAGCCGTGCCGCGAACAACTCGGCGTCCAATGTCGGAGCGCACGAGGCTGTCTGGCGACCTCATCAAGGGCAGAACAGTAAGCACCGCAAGAAGAGTGTCGAAGAGGGCTGCTCCGATGTACGATGCTGCCAGCGACTGGACCTGCCCCGTCATGAAGCAGAGATCCTCGCTGGGCGCGCGGGGGGGTCAGCGGCGAAGCGTCTTGCAAAGCGCTTGCGGAGCCTGCTCGACTCACGCGTATGGCGACGGCGAAGCAGATAGCACCACAATGTGGCTCAGGTACGTGGAGCAGACGAGTGCGCAGATGATGAAAAGCGACACGGTGATGCGACGATCAAAGTGCCACAGCGCGGCACATCTCAGTGTCAAGAGGGCGTACGCTGAGCCAACACCGATGCAAGTGAAGACTGTGCCAGTCTTGAAAACCGCCAAGCAGTCGCAGTAATGGCCCACGCCTGCCGTCAAGACGACCTGGCAGATCAATGCGACAAGACCAGAGCATCGCGCTGCAAAGTAGAGATGCGTTGCGAAGACTGGCGCGAGGTCGAGTAAGCGCAGGCGCGCGCCAAGAAGTACGCGATTATCGCAATCACCTACTCACATCTTGCAGATCGCTTCAAGCGCCACTCGGCATGAAGATGGTTACTCCAGTCACCCAAAAAGAGGCCGAAGCTCAGCACCGCGCTTATAGCTGCTGGCAAAGCCTTGGTGCCGTACGAGACGCCGTCGTGAAAAGAGGTAAAGGGGAGCATTGACATGGCGCTGAAGAGAGAAGGGAAGACTGTTTGCACCCAAGTCGCAAGCAGGCACGTCTCGCGCCGTCTTTATATCCTTCAATTCACCATTCGTGTGTGGAGATTGCCTCTGCCAAGCCAAGATCATTCAAGACTTCAAGACTTTGCGAACGGACTGCAAAGCCAAGATTGTTTTGGACCTCGCGAGCGGTCTGCAAAGCCAAGATCGTTTTGGACCTCGCTCGCGATGCCAAGTCCGCTCAATGAAAAGGCGTGATGAAATGGACGAGGGCCACCAAGTTTAATAGCGACATGCTGCGCGGTCAATTGCGGCTTGGCGTCGAGTCCGCCGACTGCGAGTGCGCGCGTGTGTACTGCCACGGGACGCGACATCTGATCATTGCGCTTGCCGACGTCTAGGTCAGTATCTGGATCAAGCCACCGCGTGGAGCCACGCACGAGTAGACACTTCCTTGGCAAGCACACTATCCACTCTCGCGTGTCTGCTACTGCACGCGAGACTTGTGATTCTTTGCCCGTCGCAGCCACTCCGCGATGTTGCTTTCTGCCAGCGACGTTTGCCCAAGGCGTCGTGCGTGCAGTGCAGATACATCGCATGGCTATTGGTATGAGTCGAGGACATTACGCCGTAAACGCGGATGCGCAGACTAAGTGACCGCCAAAAGACGCGTCTTAGGGTTAGGGTTAGGGTTAGGGTTAGGGTTAGGGTTAGGGTTAGGGTTAGGGTTAGGGTTAGGGTTAGGGTTAGGGTTAGGGTTAGGGTTA